TATATATATATATATATATATATATATATATATATATGTATATATATATATATATATATATATATATATATATGGTACCCCCCCCCCCCCATGTACCCACGCCTTTCCTCTAAATCCCAGTTTTCGGAAGGCGTGGGTCCGCGGGATCCCCTTCGTCCCCAAGCCTTTCTCCTAAATCTCAGGTTCAGGATGGCGTGGGAGTTTGGGATTGGGGCAGTGCCTGCAGATTGTACTTTATTATTTCATGTCATTGGCGGGTTCCCTCCAAAATAGCCCCGAATCATCCGAATCATTTCCGAATCATTTTGATTCGGGCCCGGGCCCGGATCCAAGATTCAAGATTCAAGATTGCCCAGGGGTCTTGCGCGGGCAATCTTGAATCCGACCCTTCATCCGAATCATCCGAATCATTTCCGAATCATTTTGATTCGGTCCCGGCGCTGGATCCAAGATCCAAGATTCAAGATTGCCCAGGGGTCTTGCCTGGGCATCTTGGATCCGACACTCACCCATTGGATCCAAGATTCCTTGGCAAGACCCCTGGGCAATCTTGAATCTTGGATCTTGGATCCGGGCCCGCGCCCGAATCAAAATGATTCGGAAATGATTCGGATGATTCGGATGAAAAGTCGGATCCAAGATTCCTTGGCAAGACCCCTGGGCAATCTTGAATCTTGAATCTTGGATCCGGGCCCGAATCAAAATGATTCGGAAATGATTCGGATGATTCGGTTTCCCGCCTTACTCGGCGTGTATATTGTCATGGTAGTTATAACATCTGGTTTGTCATGAAGTATGCCAGTCATTATTTAGTCAATACTGTGTTTGTTGCTTCAGGAGATGTAAGTCCAGCACGATTCTGAGTATCGTTTTTATCATTTACACGTTGACGTAATCCTCCATGATCTAGCCCATTGTGCAGTAATCTGTTCAATCAACTTCATCGTCATTGCAGTTATCGTACCGTCAACACCAAAATGAACATCTTATGTTCCAGACTTATTTCCCGGCTCCCCTTCGCCTTCTATTGTCATGTTGGTTATATGCAACGTCTGGTCTTTTGTGAAGTATGCCACTCATTTACGTTACCATACAGCTGTGACTGCCGTGATTCATCCCGTCATTTCTGTTTTACTGTTTGGACATGTAGACTAGCACAGCAATTCCATTCCAGCGGCGTCGTACAACTAGGAAAACTGAGGTTCATATTGATAGAACTGTTAATACGCATTTGACATGTGCAAAAATGTTGATGAAATTTAGTCGGCTTAACCGGCCTAACCACTAGTTTTATAGTTTGACGGATTGGCCGGATTCATTTGTTGGGCACACATATGACATATGTGCTCTTGCGATGTGATTACATATGTTGCTGCATGTTTCGTGAACATCTTCATGAAATCAATCCTTTCATGCTGTATAAGACTAGGCATGAATCTCTGCCTGAAGACGGTACTGTGAGAAGACCACTTAATTTATCGTCTTCCTCCGTTAACGTGTACGGAACTAGACGTATCGTCTACTCTTGTCTAGGACTGAAGCCTTGACTCAGGGAAATTTAGTGGTATATGGAAAATGTATTGGCATCGCTTACACTTTTCTAAAGGTACATGTATAACGTGTGTTGCTTCATGCTTGGATGGGGTGTCTCTAGGTGGTGCACCTTCACGTTTGTACGTCTTTAACTGGTGCTTACAGTAAAGAGCACTACCCAGTACAGTCACCGCAAAACTCTGACATGCAGGAGTCTTTATTGGTCATCATGCATTAGGTGCGAAACATGTAAACGACTCTGTAAGAACACACAAGCTCCAGCTCGATAGGATGGACATGATTCAGATGATGCATAGGCTAAAGATTACCAAGCTCAGAATAAACATGTAAACCTTCAGTTCATATCAATACAAGACAGCGACAACAACAAATTTATCTAGTCAGTACCAATTACAATATAGCTTAACATATACTTTTACAGGTCGGGCTAGTATGAAGCAGGGTGAACAGTAGCCACGGGACTAGCGTACCTAGGAAAGTTTGTTTTTCAGACATACTAATACAGGGGGAAATAAAGAGTGTTAGCTGGGTTACGTACTTAGGAAAGTTTTTATTCAGACATAGTAAGACAGGTGGAAATAAAGAGTGTTAGCTGGGTTGGTATTACTGAGGCAATCAGAACGGTGGGTATAACCATAGTAGTAAAGACACTGGTCACAGGAAGAGCATCATTGGTAAATGCAACAGTGAAACTACACTTGGTGCTGGCATAGAAGAAAATATTCGTGCTTTCGTGTACTTTGCATACAACCAAGAACAGTGGAGATTGGAAAGGTTTGTATTGCCACGACGACGATCCCGCACAATTCAAGCGCAAAGCGTGGGTACATGAGGGGGGGGGGGTAGCATATATATGTATATATATATGTATATATATGTATATATATGTATATATATGTATATATATGTATATATATGTATATATATGTATATATATGTATATATATGTATATATATGTATATATATATAATACATACACACGTGCGTGTGTGTCCATGAGCGTGTGTGTGTGTGCGTGCTTGTGTATGTGTATGTCCATGTATGCGTGTGTGTGTGTGTGTGTGTGTGTGAATGTGTATGTATGAATGTATGCACGTGTGTGCGGATGCGTCGGGTTCCTTATTAGAGCTGTATCAAAATATGACATCAAGACCGGTGGGGGGCATCAAACAAATGTTCCAAAGCAACCCTCTACTACAGTGCTACAGTCTCCGGTTGGAGGTTAGAAGACGATGTCCATTATTCTTTGAGAACATGGACTTGGTCTTCGGCGGGCTGTCTGTGAACATCTTGGGTTAAGCCCTCGACATGAGACCCCAAAGCCTGGTTAAGCTCAGGCCTGCTTTGGCTCAGGTGGCCTGAAGTTCAGGCCTGAAGCTCTGCTTTGACTTGAGGGGTGGTCTGATCAACGGAAATTGCCATGAGACGCGGCATTGCGCTTAGTGTGGGCATCAATGCCTACTCGAAGAAGCCGCTGACCTGTGCAGTTGCTGATACCTTGGCATTGGATGAGGCTCTGCAAACCAAAAACTTTGATCGAATGATATGCTTAGATGCAGACCTGGAACAATTCCATCAATGCTTTCAAGCCTTTCTTCAGCAAATACGACTGAGCCACGACTTCATTCTGTTCAACTTCAACGGGCACTGCCAGGTCGTCGATGGCGAGGCCAGGATTCTTTTTAAAGATGGGGAAGGAGCCGGTGCTGGGAAGAAAATAGTAAAGGAACTCACCCAGGAGATTCTGGTGTCCAGAAGCCGCTGGGATGCAACGGTTTTTTTGCTGATGGACTGCTGCCGTGACGAGGACCCCCAAGAACTTGGTGCAAGTTGCCAGCCTGGCTCGCTGACAAGAAGATGGATTGGCCGCGACAAGCGCTTGGCGATTATTTGGGCATCAGCTCTTGGGCAAAAAGCAACAGATGGCGATGATGCGAGGCGCTGCAGCGTTTTCATGGAGGCCTTAGTGCGATGTGTTTGCAATCCACAGGCATCCACAGTTCAGCAGGTCTATGATGAAATCTGGGAGTCAGTGACTTCCTATCAAAGGCACGACCCCGGGATCCTCCTGCAGCAGCCGTACTTCTGCACAAATGCGGCCTCGTGGCGGTTTCGGCCCTTGCCTTCGGTGGCTGATCAACCGGCCAACCCTACCTCTCCATCCCTCGAGCGTTTGCTCCACGTCCGTGATTTGCTCAAAGACTTGCTAAAGTGGGCATCGTGGGTTGTATGTGTGCCAATGTCACTTCAACTCCATGTCCAAGGACATCGGGCACCAACGCCCCCTTGCCCATGGTGCATGTTAGGTGTTAATACTACAAGATGAACTGAATTGACATAGCCTTAGCCTTTTTTCATTTGGCTTGGCGAACCTGGAATCAAAAGGTGTCTTTTGTCGCAGTGGTGAGTTTCGAACCTGGCACTCGCGAGGCCCCTTACGGTAGACCCTAAGCCCTAAAGCCCTACACTGACCCTTCATAGCAAAGCCCTAAACCCGTAAAGTAGCAGCCGCAGCTACCGAGGCACATGAATGACGACCATCGCGAGGCCACGATGGCAATGGTGAGGTCCTGGGGGGACATCATTCGGGTTTTTTGGAAGTGTAGGTTTCAGGACTTAAGTTTGAAGGGTTCAGGGTTTAGGGACGTTTAGGGCTCACCTTGAACCCTAAACCCTCAACCCTGAACCCTGACCCAAACAAACCCTAAACCAAAAGTCTGGTGTCAAACGCGTCAGGCCCAGGTTCTCAAGTTTCAGCTTCAATCCCAAAGCCTGATGCCCAAAACCCCGAAAACCCTAGGATCTAGGATTGCTTGGGACTCAGCTCAAGAAAGATTAGAGCACCTGGCCCTTCGTTGGCAAAAAATGTGACTGCAAGAGACGTTTCCGGTTCGGGCGAAGCAGCCAGAGCCTTTGTCATTAAGCTTCGATTCGAGACCCAGTGATGTGTTGGTGTTGCTTGACTTGAGTAACTTGTGCATGAAGCAGCAGTTTCTACTAAACCTTAAACCCCTGTTATCCCAAAATCTCAAGGCCCAGATTGGCGGGAATTCCTTTGGGATGCAGTTTTCTTGATCGATGACTACACTGCTGTTTCTGGATGTGAGCATGTCCAGGGAGTGGAAGTTTCGGGAGATGTAGGTAGGTCCAAAACTCCCCAAGGGTCCCTAAAACTTGAACCCTAATTAACTAAACCCTGAACCAGCTAGCTTGCACCTCGCAGGAACTACATCGGCATCGATGTGGAAGATGCTGAGATCACGGCGCTGGACAGCCCCATCCTTGGCACGCTGAGATTGGAGTCGTGTGATTCACGGGCATGTGTCCTCAAACTCAAACTAGTTCTTAAAGGGTGAAAACAAAGAGATCTAAAGTCTTAAAGGTTGTTCGTTCAGTTTCACAAGAACGCTCATTGCCCGGAAATGAACAGAGCTCAAACCGCAACTCCAACTCCTTGATGAAGCCTCCCAGCACTAAAGCACTGGTGGTTCTACTCCCAGGTTTATGTCGATTTGCAGGAGGTTCGTCATTATTTTAATTCAGTCTGGGCCAGCGAGTCGCGCCGTAAATGTTTAAGCTTAGGGTTTAGGTGTTAATATCTGGCCTGGCTGGCGGCAATTTGCACAGCTTGGGTCGAAATCAAAACATATAGCAGCAACATCGGCAACAGGGTATTATTGGGGCAAATGGTGTTTTCTTCAAGAATGAGACAGGATTGTTTCAGCGGATCACATGATGACCCTTTTGGGCGCCCTCTTTCTTTCAGGAAAAGTCGCTGGGAAGTCCATGAGTACCACTCACCGCAAATTTCTGCGTAAGTCTCTAGAGGGCACACATGCGCCGGATGGATATAATGATGTAATTACGGTTTTCGCTAAATGGGAGTTTCCGAAAATAGGGGGGACCCTAATATAGTACCCTAAATAGTAGGATCCTCAGTATAAGGACCCCAAATTAAGGTACCCCGAATTTGTGGAAACCCCCAAATCAACAATTTCGAGCTTCTGTTGACAATTCCAAGGCTCAGAAGTGCAGGCGGTGCCTTCGCTACCTGATACAGCTTAAAAACAGAAGAAGCCTAAATCCCCTAATTATCCTACACTCCTATGCCTACGCAGCTAGAAAACCCGAAAGCCCAACAGTGCCACCCCCGAACCGCAAGCAACTAGCCCACACAAAACCATAGCAAGCCAGACTGTAGCCCTGACGCCAAAGACAATGTACAACGGCCCCTTGACGAGAGCAAACCTGAACCCTAAACCCTACCTTTTCAGAGGTCTGGGTATGTACGTCAAGGTGTCCAGAACGCCGAAGGATCGACTTAGGGCCTTCTTCTGCCCGCTTGGAAGGTTTAGGATTCAGAGTTCAGGCTTCAGGATTCAGAGGATAGGAAGGCTTAGAATTCAGAGTTTAGGAAGCTTTCCTGGTTCAGTGTTCACTGGTTTGGGGACTTCGGGATTTCGCATTGAGAGAATTTTGGGGTTACCGAGGCCATCAAATGTAGCAGTATCGAAATTTATTATTGCAGGGCCGGCATGCCCAGGACACGAGGTTAGCTAGCCCTAAGCCATATAGCACCATGAAGGGCAGCAAGGAACAAAGCAAATCTTGACGCATAAAACCGATCCTGTTGCGATTTTGAACAGATTCCGCCACCGAGGGTTGTTGACTTCGAAAGTTCGAAGAGTCGTGACTTTGGGGCTCGCAGTTGTCGTTCAGAGTTTTGGGAATTTCATTTGGGACTTCAGAGGTCCGCATGGGGGGGTTGGCGGTAACTGTGTTTCAGGTTTACTTGTGGCCCAAAAGACCTACCTTTTCGAGGATTATGTTGAGACCATAATAAGGAACTCAAAAAGGTAGGTCTTTTCGGCTACAGGTAGGGACTGATGCCTGCGAGTCTGAGTGTGAGGCCTCTCCGACACTTGACCAGCTCACTGCTCAAACGGACTTGTCTCATCTAAACCCCGAAGCTCGGCCCACGGGTGTATGTTTCAAGGCCCACATGGCCCTAAAAGCGTTGAATATGGACGTCTGAATAACCCTACTTAGCTTGTCATACAAAAGTTCCATATGTTGAACGCGAAACCCTTCACAACCCGGGCAGGCAGCGGACCAGATGCAGCAGTTCAAGCTCCGCCTTCCCTTCATCCGTAAGCTGGAGAACCGCAAGGAGCCAATATACGGGCTTAAAATAATGGATAACTGCCAATATTATTCCCCAGGATTCCGTATTGTTGATAGAGTATCATCTACCCAAATCCCTATTCTGCCTATGAAGGTCCCTATATTAGGGTATAGGGCTTGGCTTAGGGTGTCAGGATTTTGGGTTCAGCGCTCAAGGCTCTGGGTTCGGGATGATGTCGCTTCGAGGCTGCAGCAATCCAACCAGGCATGCCAAGAGCTTCCAAAATCCATGAAATATGGTTAGGATTTAGGGTTTAGGGTTTATAGGATAAGGGTTTCGGGTTTAGGGTTACGGAATATACCTCAAGTTACCAGTAGGATCCCCAATGTCATCTTCTGTATATTCCTTAACTAAGGAATTTTGGTGGGTCTGGGTGATTCTGCCCTAGATTGCCAAGGTTTCTGCTGGCACGAGCAGGGCTGCCGTTGTCCACGGTATGTTGTATTCACTCTTTGCAGCATTTGGGCTGTGTGCTTGCCATGATACTATATGCTACTTGCAGTACTTTGCAGGTGGCTCGCTCTCTCTCTCTCTCTCTCTCTCTCTCTCTCTCTCTCTCTCTCTCTCTCTCTCTCTCTCTCTCTCTCTCTCTCTCTCTCTCTCTGTCTGTATATCTAGATCAAAACGTTTGTGCACACATGTATACAATGTGTTCTCGTGTATGAATACAAACATCAGCCAAGCAGAAAGATGCATGCAGAAATCTCCAGCAAATATGCATATGCTGCAGAGGATGCGAAAGACGTGATCGTCGAGATGACGAGGGCAAGCCGGCGGTTGATAAATGGAGCTTCATGTTCAAGTCAAAACCCAGGGTAATGTAGGAACCTGATTGACAAACCCTGGGCCTATAATCCCAAAAAGTAGGCTTTCTATAAGGAGCCCTAATGAAAGCCCAAGGTTTCTTAATCAGGTTCCTACATTAGCATCGCAACAGTCAGTTACAAGTCAACCAGGCGCCTAAGGAATCCTGCGGCAAGCTTGAAGCAGGGTCCTTTGCGTGAGAACTTCCTGCATTATTGCAAGAGGTTCTTCGAAGTACAACACATGCATACAGGGTCCACGGCCCCTCACCTCAGCACCACCGAACCAAATTTAGCAGACCTGCCTTTAAGGTCAACGCTTGGTGGTCGAGGGTTTTATTCAGGATACCTCCTGATGTCGGGAAAGGTGTACTTTTGCGCCACACCATAAGGCCTAAACCCTTTGTAGTTGTTGTTTTTAATGTTGTTCTCATTTTTTGTTAGTATGAGAGTACTCATTATTCTTGTTATGGTCATAATTACGGTTGTTCTTATCATTTTCTACTATACTGTTTTCTATTGGTATTGCTATTAGGGCCTTTGCGACACCCTTGAGCCGACTTAGCTCTGCAGACGACGAGCCGACAGGGGCTTTGGGGTGTTAATGGTAGACGTTCGGTGTAGGCTTTTAAGGTTGAGGGTTGAGGGTTTGGGGTTTAAGGGTAGGCTTAAGGTTTAGGGTTTAGCTTCTCTTGGCTTGAACAGAGTTTCGGGCTTGAGGGTTTTAGGTTTCGGTCCTCTCGGGTCCACAGGGTGTTTTTTGTATTTTAAGAGTTTCGAAGTTTAGGGTTGTGGGTTTTAGGTTTCCTGTTTGGGTTTCCCACCATGACTGTTAGCATGAGTTTGCGGTAGCAAAAGGCGCTCAAAATTGGAGTGCTGAGCATCAAGCCCAAAAACTTAAGCCCTAAAGCCTTTTAACCATTAGCCTTCACCCCTCAACCTCTTACAATGACATATGTGTAAAGGAAAACAAGTAAGTATACATCTACTATACACCACAAGCAACATGCCTTTCCTCAATGTCCGGGAGCGGCTGCACGCAAAGAGGCCAGCGCGGAGTTCATGCCCAAGAAGGAGAAAGCCTGAGTGCTTCGGCAGTCGGGATTTGAAGGGTTCTGTCCGGCTTTGAAAGTTTGTAAAGAATGGTTCTATACATGTACTGGAGGGTTTTGTGTTTCGGGTTGCTTTAACAGGGCTGAGCGGTTTCCCTCCTGAAGCCTCTAACCTTAAACAGTAAACCCTAGTTACCTAGTTGTAGAGATTTCTGCTTTGCACAGATGAAGTAGACTTAGACTCAGCAACAGCCTGAGATTTTCACACCTGCTCTGGACAACAACTTCTTAGACCCTACGCCTTTAAAGCTCGCGCTCGATACCAAAGCTCGCATGCTGGACCCCGAATCGTTAAGTGAAGCTTTGAGCCCTTCCCGCTTTCGGGTTGTCCAGGCACGGCACTTCTCGTAGCATGTGGGATGTTCGTCCCTGCGTCTCCAATTTTCGGCTCATGCTAAGGTTTTTGGCCTCAGCCAGATATCTTGCAGATGTCAATTTTCTTGGTGCGCCTGCAGCCTCAAAAGTCCTGCCATGAACTTGAAATCGAACGTAGGGCCCAGAGGTGAAACCCCAAGTAGTATCGTGGTTTAACGGGATGTTCTTGTGTAAGTTTCGTTTTAGTTCAGGAGGCGGGGTGAATGCTTGATGCGGATGAAACTTTAAAGGAAAGGTCTTGATCCGGAAGCCCTTAAACCCTAAACCCCTAAACCCTTAACCTTACACCCGGATTCCAACCCCCACATTTCTTGCAAATTACATCCACCACTAGGAACCACCTGAACGGAAATTTGATTTCTCAACCCTCAAACCCTCAAAGCCTCAATATCGAGGGCTTAGGGTTTCACGCCGTCTCAAACCCCTGAACCCTTTTAAAAACTCCGACAAGCCCTAAACAATCCTTTTAACTTCTCAGCACTCAGCATTGCTTTACATTGTGGATTAAAGGCCAACCCTAAACCCTAAACCCTAAACCCTAAACCCTAAACCGTAAAGGCAAAAGAGTTTAGGGTTGCGGGGTTGTGGGGCTACGGATTAGAGGCTTGACGGTCGAAGATACAGGCACGGTCCGGGGGTTTAGGGTTTAGGGTTTAGGGTTTAGGGTGCCTTCTCCCAAACCAGAACACTACATATTGTCTTGGGGGTGCGGGGGGGGGGGGGGGGGGGGGGCAATATAGGGGCTTTAATAATTACCTATAATATTTGGGGGCTTCCTTATTACATTTATAGTATAATGGGCTCAAAACCCCATTCTAATTATAAAGGCCCCTATATTAGACCCTTATACCCTAAAGCCTAAATCGCTCAGGGAATACGGCGAGAACCATCACACAGCACTCACTCGCTACGATCTCAGCCACAGCGATCGTCAACAGCATCTTCTCATCATCACTATGGCGCCGCCCCTAAGCCCCCAAGAAGTATCCATCCCTAAGCCCCCAAGAAGTAGCCATCCCTAAGCCCCCAAGAAGTCGCCATCCCTGAGCCCCCAAGAAGAAACCCTAAACCCTACACCCATGATTGTCTCGGTGTCCCAGGCCCCGCAATATCCCTAAGCCCGAAAATCCGAAGATGTCGGTTCAATGACCGGTCTGGGCCACGTGCTCTTAGCTGCGTCGGGTCTTTAGTTAGTTATGGCTGCAGGTTTGCGTGTCTGAAGACCGGTAGGCTCGACCCAAAGCGGCTCCGCGTTGGTAGTTTCGCCATGTGAAGTGCGAACTCTTCGCTTTGCCTGCCCGAGCTGCTTCTCAAGAGAGTTGTCTCGTCAGTTCCCATGCCGCATGTGCTACTACTGTGACCCTCTTCTTGAGCAACGGAGCGCCCGGCATGCAAAAACCCTAAGGCCCTGCCTTGAATGCCCTGCACACTACGCTTGCTTCGCCACAATAGGAATCCTAAACTCTGCAAGATTCAGAAATTGAGCCCTGAAGCTCTTAATTTCTGAAAACCCTTAACAATGGAGCCTTAAACCTGCTAACATCCCGGAAGACCTTCTTAGAAGCCTTTTAAAGCAGCCCCAAGCCCTTAGAACCAAGAGGCTGCTATTTTACAGCCATGCCGCGACTGACGGAGGAGTTGATCCGAAAACGCCCCTGGCCCAACTAGGGGAGTCTAACCGTTGATATTGGAGAAGCTAAGGAGCCAGGGATGATGATAATCCCTATTAAATAAGGAGCTAAAGAGCCAAGGGACCCCACAACCACTGGTCAGGTGAACCTCGAGTGTTTCAGTCAACCCCTCTGCATGAGGATCTTACACGTAAGCAGAGCCTGCATGTTTAGGTGATTTTCGGCCATCCCAGAAAATTTGGTTCGGGTGTTTTATTGTTTATATAACGCTTCGGCAGCTTTACGACGACATCACTCGTGGCCGGCGGCAGGGGGCGGGAGTTGGGTTCCGTAACAGTTTAGGGTTGCGTAAAGGCTTTCATGATTTAGGCTGTAGGTTTTTCAGTTCGGTTCGACCCCCTGTTAGCTCAAATTTGTTTAATGAACGAAGAACACTTCTTAGATCAAGGCGGGGCTATAAAGCCGTTCGAAATTCATTGATTCTCACAGTTAAACCTACCCCGTAAGTTACGGAGCCGTACTAAGGGACCTTGGAAGGGGACATTGCAGCCGCTGATTGTGCTCTGACTTGCTCAGCATAGAAGCCTACACAATTTGAAAGGGTCTTGGGTTATAGTATGCGATCATCATGTACGGACTTCAAGGGACACTATATCAAGGCTAGATAGCTTGAGCCTGGCAACTCAACGTCGCATCCATGCGATACCACAAAGCTTACAATCTGTCGCAGCAGAAACCCTGAGCCATCATGTAGGGTGAAGGGTCTGAGGTGTCTGGATTCGGGGTTGCTTGACATTAAGCTTTGTCTTCCGCCACTTTGGAATTCGGTTGCTGCCTCCGTCTGCCGTCCTTTATGATTATGATTTAGGGCCGAAGTCACTTCAGACTCATCCTAAACCCTAAGCCGAGGTGCAGAGCACAATGAAGGCGTACTGTCGGACCTGGAAGAGATCGCTTTGCACCAGCAGGACCTGAGGGCTTGATACATGTAGGGACTTACGAGGTAACATAGCATAACTAATAGTCTAGTACGAATTCATCTAAGATTGCACTGGTTTAACTTCTGTTAAAATACACACCAGAATATGTGAGGTTATGTTAAGTCATACTTTGATGGATTGTACAAATAATTACATACAAGAAAATTTTAATTTCAAGTACAATAACGAAATAAATAAACACACATGTGTTTACGATGTATGTGTATGTATGTGTATATACATATGAGCAAAGAGCTAAATACTCCACATCAGGGAGTAGTCTTCCGGGGGACTTTGGATGCCATGTGGCATGAGTGCCATACCATAGTGTGGAAAACGATAATGTCAGTTATGTATGTGTAATGTCCTCATGAATATGTAAAACGATATAGTGAAGGTCCAAAAACGATAAGGCGATTTTGCGAGCCAACGCACGTGTGCTGGTGCAGCGGTGCAGAGCTCAAGTCGGGATCCCAATCTTTCCTGGCCATGGTCCGAAACTTAGAGTACCCAATCTGGGTTTCAAGGCTCCGAAACTTAGAGTGCATGTAAACTCATTTCCAGGGATCCCAAAACTACCCAAGCGTGCCATTGACCACGGTGTAAACTCACTTCCAGGGGTCCGTATTCGCGCCGTTTGTGCACGCCCTTGTAAAACGAGGCAATTCCAGTACTGAATGTTGTACTACAAGAAAGCACAATTCAGCCAGAAGCCGAAACGAGGCATTTCCAGTACTGAAGTTGTACCACAAGCAAGCACAATCCAGGCAAGAGCCGAAACGAGGCATTGCCAGTACTAAAGTTGTACTACAATCCAGCCAGGAGCCGAAGCGAGGCATTTCCAGTGTACTACAAGCAAGCGCAATCCAGCCAGGAGCGAAACGAGGCATTTCCACTTGCAGAGCACCTTTATCCTTCCTTGGCCTCTTTCAAGACCCTTAGGGTTTAGGGCTTAGGGCGTTGTGAACTGGCTTGCTCTGGTTGGTTTGGGACGCCTGGACAGTTTCTAGCGTGCTGCAGCAGGTTTGGGATCCCGGAAACTGAATTTACATCACACACGCAGAAAAGTTCCAAGCACAGGCGCTTGTGAACTGGCTTGCTCTGTTAGGTTTAGGACACCTGGAAGTGAGTTTTCGTCGCACGGCTCCAAGCCCCCCATGCACTGGCGTGATTGTTAGCGCGATTGGGTAGCTTTCGGGCCCCTAATTCACATGGAATGGGCTCTAGTGTGGTTCCCAACGTGCCCGGCTCCAAGAAAGCACTGGCGTGGTGAACGTAACTAGCGCACTGTAGGTTGTTTGGCACCTCGGTAAGTCATTTTGTGCACATCCATCATCCAACACACGTTTAGCACCCGTGCCCACGACTTCGTCCCACTCAGCTCGATCGGCTGTTTCCAACTCAGGCCACCAGCACTAAGTTGTGCTACAAGCAAGCAGACAAGCCAGCCAGGAGCCGAAACGAGGCATTTCCAGCACTAAAGTTGTACTACGAACAAGCACGAGCACAATCCACGGGTTTAATGTGGATTTGCACGGATTTAACGTATATTTGTTTGGATTCCAGGTATAATTGCACGGATTTAGCGGGCGGTTTTCGGTCAGGAAAGGGCTCAAAGATCGAGCCCGCGACCCTGCCCAGTTTGGTTCACAAGGTGGCCGCCCCCCACCCGGCTGCAGAGTTACACACAGCTCAGTGTGCAGACAAGCGGCTCTCGAGGCAAGTGGGGAAGCTGTGCGGGCTCAACTCCCGCTGGGGTTGTTTGGGTCCCTGGTCCCTTGACCAACTGGAACCTAGATTTTGGATGACCAAAACCTTTCGAGAGGGCAGGTGCCCGCGCCGTCCATTCGGACGAAGCGGGAGCTTTGAAGCCAACTGATCTCCCACAGTTGCTAGCGTGCTGCAGGAGGTTTGGGATCCCGGGAACTGAATTTACATCACACACGCAGAAAAGTCCCAAGCACAGGCGGTTGTGAACTGCCTTGCTCTGTTAGGTTTAGGACACCTGGAAGTGAGTTTTCGTCGCACGGCTCCAAACCCCCCATGCACTGGCGTGGTTGTTAGCACGATTGGGTAGCTTTCGGGCCCCTAGTTCACATGGATTGTTACAGACCTTGTTTTGGTATCCCCAAACCTTCCCAGGGACTCCCAAAAACCCGTTGGCAGTCCCATACACAGGGCCGTTCTTCGTGTGTGTGCCTGCTCCAAACCTCTGTTATTTGGAAAATTGGAAGGCCGGTGACAATCTCGGGGTCCCCGGCTTTCTTTGTGCGTGCTACGGGTGCTTCTAAACCTTATTTTGGGCCCCCAAAACCTTACCAGGAACTCTTAAAGAACCGTTTGCAGTCACATAAACAGGGCCGCTCCTTGCGTGTGCCTAAACTCCAGGCCTTCGCCTTGCCTTCCTGTGATCTGGCAAATTGGGGTTGGCTTTTGCTTATCAAGTTCTGCTCATAAAAGTGCATTTTTGGACTAGCCCGGGTGCCAATCTCGGGATCACCTCCTTTCTTTGTGTGTGTGCCGTTTGCCTACAGTTCGCAGTTGTCGGACCTGGCTTTTTGAACAGGAGTGCTCCAAAAGTTTCTTTTGAGGCCCTGAAACTTGCACAGGGGCCCGCTAAGAATCTCGTTTGCAGACAGATCCGAGTTTGGACATGCTTGCTACTTGCAGTATGATACTTATGCCGCTGATGTTGCGTTTGATATGTAAAACGATATGGTGAAGGTCCAAAAACGATAACATCAAAACAAAGACCGCTTCTGCGCAAACGAATATTGCCCATCGCTCATATATATATATATATATATATATATAGAGAGAGAGAGAGAGAGAGAGAGAGAGAGAGAGTTTCTCCATCGCAGCGTTCCCTCTTGCATCTGATGAGGGATTCACTTTTTGGGGTCTGGTAAGTTCCACACAACCCGGGCCCTCACACTGGAATCCTACGCCCTGACCCCTAAACACTTCGTACAAACTTCCATTGATTGTCGTTTCTGTGACCACTCTTCACCACCAGATCTCAAGCGAAACTGCACCCAAGATGCCAACCCTGCAGCTTCAACCCTGAGCCGCAAGTCATAGTGAAACCCACGGCCCAGAGACTCCAATATCCCTTAATGAAGGACTATGCCTTAAATCATATCTGGGATCCTACTTTAATTTGAGTTACATTTCTAAATTCCCTTCTAGAACCCTTATAGATCCCTTTAATTTGAGGAGCCCTTGAAGGAACCCTTACGGGTATATTCCTCAATTAAGTGATATTGGAGTCTCTGGGACTAGAGAGAAGGGCCTTAAATCATATTAGGGATCCTTTTAGAACTCTTATAGATCCCTTTAAGGAATCCTTTAAGGAATCCTTAGGGACATTTTCCTTAAGTAAGGGATATTGGAGCTTCGGCCCAGCGGACACTTGCACTCTACAGGGAGCTGAAGCCGACCCATAGGGGCCATACTGCTGATGGACAATGCATTACTCATTATAAGGAATATACCATAATAGTTCCCATAGTTTAGAGTCCTCAGCGTCATGCAGGATTTTGTCCATCAGCAGTAGTAGTTCCTTTTTTGGGGATTACACCAGGATGCTAAACATGAGCCCCAAAAAAGGAACTACTATGGGGCCTATGTGTAAAGCCAATTCCTACCTACAGTCTCCATTATTGTTCCTTGTTTTGGTTTAACCAGTCATAGATTTCGGGTTCTAGAAAGTAACACCAAAAAGGAACTACAAGGGAGACTATCGGTAAAGTCCCCGAGCCCGACAAGTCTCGAACCGCAAGCCTTGAAACCCTGTTCATATACATTACTATAGTGGAATTAGGTCCCCAAACCCATAATTGGGATGCCCTTTTGAGACCTAAGTACATGGACCTTCTGGCTTCAGGAGATCGAGGGCATTGAAAGTTTGGAGGCCTGCTGCCGACACATCAAGCAGCCCGGCGTGAGAAGACGAATCCCTTCTCTCTTGTCCTAGAGACTCCAATACCACTTGATTAAGGAATATACCCCTAAGGGTTCCGTAAAGGGCTCCGTAAAGGGATGAAAAAGGTTCTAGAAGGGAATTCAGAAATATACCTTACATTAGTATCCCAAATGTGTTTTAAGGTATATTCCTTAAGTAAGGGATATTGATGTCTCTCGGAAATTGCGTAGGGTTCAGAGCCGAGTTTACAAGGGCCTTTGACTATTCCGTTATCGTCAGCTATGACCCTAAACCCTAAACCATAGTTAGTCCGTGTACCGGTATACTTTGTCAGACTCGAGAAAAATTCTTTTCTGATTCTGAGAGATGGTGCTTAACCTGCAGAGTCGTATCCTTCGCCAAGAAGCTTGCGTGAACAATCCTGTGACTGCTATGTACCCCCAGATGTAACTTTCCGAAAATGTTCGGTACCTTGACATAGGCCCCTGCCTACTGCCTCGCATCCCATCATAAAGACCTCTAAGGAGGACTCCAATTATTCATTCACCGGGCATAGTAGAAACCCAATAGCCTCAATCCTTAAGAGAAATACATAGGTGCGTAGTTCTCCAAAGTAGGGGCACGTTGCCCCAAAATACTACGACACCCTCATGAAAAGGACCCTACACTACAAAGAGACCCTAATGTAGAGAAATGTCTAGGTGGGGTCTACTCTAACCTACGAGTAGAGTTATAAGTACCCTTCATGGAGTTACTCCAATTATAACCCTACTTATAACCGACTTAATTACTAAGTCCCTTGGGCCTCCAAGTACATCGAGTTCGATTGTTTGACTGGTCTAAGCCCCCTCAGACCCTCATACACATACGAAAAACTCCCACGGGTTCAGAGTTTGGGGTATATGCGGTACAAAAGACACTTTGAACCCTAAAGCCCCAAACCATAAGACCCCGAATGCTAACAACCTCGACCTTAGGCCCTGAACCCGAGACCGGTTTAGGGTTTAGGGTTTCAAACCCCTGAGAGTTAAACCCTCAAGCACTACCCATAGGCCCATAGTAGTTCCTTTTTGGGATGACCTTGTAGCATTCTAAATATGAACCCCCCAAAAAGGAACTACTATGGGGCCTATGGGTAGACCTGAGGATCCTCCTCCTGCAGAACAACATCATTCCGAAGATGGAAGGCCTTGCGCTAGGGATTCGGATCTCTACGTTTTTTATTTGGGTAGTAGGCAATGGAAGAATGGTAGTAATAATAGTTATAATTGTGCCCCATTCCTCCATTCCCTACTAACCAAAGTTAAGTGTTGCGAGGGAGCGGGGTTGGCCAAGATCCGAAATATAGGGCCCTTAATAATTACCTATACAATTTTGGGGGTTCCTTATTGTATTGTATAGTATCATGGGCCCCAAAACCCTATTCTAATTGATTATTAAGGCCCCTATATTAAAACACATCGTAGCACTGAGTTCCCGGGTCAGTGTCATCAGCAAGAGCACAAGGAGTGATATGGCAGTTTTCCGAAAATAGGGGACCCTAATGTAGTACCCAATTTTCAGGATCCCTACTATAAGCAACCAAATAAGGTACCCCCCATTTTCGGAAACCCCCATATGTGATAGTCGCGAAACCCACAGTATAGACAGACACGCCACCATTGCCACTGCAGCCGCCGCCAGCACCATGATGATGATTATGATGGTGGTGATGATGACAGTGACGATGCTGATGATGACGGTGATGATGGTTGTTATCACCATCACGATCCTGATGGTCATGGGTGGGTCGTCATCATCATCATCATCATCACCCACCCATCTCCGGCATCCTCATGTCTTGCTTCCTCACCCATCAACATCGCTATTCTTGGCGTCGTCGTCGCCGCCGTCGTCGTCGTAGAAGCAGTGCTGTTCGTCGTACTTGCCAAGTCTTGTAATCTCAGTCCTACATGTTTGACCCTAAACACTAGATAAAGCCCCTACACCCTAAACCTCAAAGTCTTGAAGGCCTCAACAAGCTGAAAGAGCTGGAGTACTTGAATCTTGTGGCGACCCTGGCAGAGCTCAACATCCATGATCTAAACCCTAGACCACCCCAAATCCCTAACAAACCCTACCTGTAGTCTCCATTGTAGTTCTTTTTTTGGTGTAATCAACTACATATTAAGGATCCTATAAGGTAACCCCAAAAAGGAATTACAATGGAGACTATAGGTAGACCCTCAACCGATGGAGGAGGTTTTGAGGATTTCGGGTGAGTTTTTTTATGCTTGACACACGTGTTCAGGTCTTACAACCGTATCTTAGATTGGTTCGGCTCGTTATACGAATTCTCTGAAGAGTAACTGACTGGGACAAGTACCCGGAAGAGACAATACTGTAGAACAGCTGGGACTTATGCTGTTTTGGATACGTGCTTTCTGTCCGGGTCTCAACATCAGCCACCAATGTTGGCACCTGATAAAACGTTCCAGGGTTGAGGACTTTGAACGGTGCCGTGTTACTGAGCGGGTGATTCTGCAAGTTCGGGGCCGGCTGTGGATCCTCAGGATTGCAAGAACGATTCCCAGAAAGGTATCCTAATTCAGAGACCTACGAATGTACACAGTTCTAGGCGCTTGCACAAATCAAAACTTGAACCCAGCTTGGTAGAGCCACTATGCCGCTCTTCCTCACGGCTCTTCATGACATTTTTCAACCCTGATCGACCCTTTAAAATAGCCCTAAGGGAAGCCTCATTCGTTCTCTGCCTGTCTCTGAGTCGAGCCGGCTCCCACCGCTCTGCAGTAACGTAGAAGCCTGACTGGTTTAAGGTTTTGGCTTCGGGGATTAGGGTTTAGGGTTTTAGGGTTTAGGATTCAAGGTTTAGGGTTTAGCAATGTTTTCCACAGGGCTTAGTATCAGTTAGTTAGTAGATAAGATGGAGCACCAGACGCTATTCTTCTTTCGACGGACGGCCCCTGCATTAAGGACTTTAATGCTCGTTTCTTGTGGGTCAAATCCGCAAACAGGAGCGAAAAATCATGGCAGAGGAAGCCTTTATGTCTGAAACATGTGGGTGTGCAAGCCACCGAACTCTCACTGCATGCATGCGAGCCCTTGTCGCAAAATGCTTGTACATCGACCCTCACTATCGCAAGCCCTAAGTCCGTAACCCCTGAGCCCAGGCTCTCAACAACATCTCGAAGATCGAGGGCATCGACGGCTGCGAGTCGTTGAAGAAGCTGGTGGCCCAAGGAAAATCCTACAGTAAAGGCCCAAAAGTTGGAAACCCAATAGCCTCAATCCCTAAGGCCAATGTATAGGGAATCCCAGCAGTATCTGGCCTTAATCCGGTTTCCAACTTTATGGGGTTTACTGTAAGCCTTAAATCCTAAACCCTGTAGCCCCAAGACCCTAAACCCCTTGTGGATCAGCTTTTCCGGCCTGTAGGGGGCTTTAGGGCTGAGGGATAAAGGCCATAGAGACAAGGCCTTAGGGCTTGTTCATGTCTTTCAAGACTTCAGCGTTTTCAGGGCTGCAGGTTCAGGGCAATTATGTAGTCAACTAGTAAGAGATCCCTGCAAAAACCTCATAAGAGCCCTGCAAGAAACCTACAGGGGCCCTCAACCCTAAACCCTAAACCCTGGGTGCTGGGACTGCGGTTTAGGGTTTAGGCTTCATCTGCCCATTCTGCCGACCAGGCATAATTTGCCTTTGTCCTTGCAGTCAGAGTCTACCGAAGCCATGGAGCTTTAACCGAGTGCCCGCTCCTGCAGTAGTTACCGATCAGCTCTAAATTCCAAGCCTTAAATTCTACATGGGTGGTTGTCAAAATTATGGCCCTTTTTTGGTCCCTAATATAATACGGCACCTACTATTTAAGGTACCCCAAAAAGGGACCCTGATTTTGACAACTACCCAAATCATACCCTAAAACCCGGAGGGGCCTGAAAAAGGAGCCAACCTAAGTCCTAAGCCCCAAACCCTAAACCCTAAACCCCAAACCCTAAACCCTAAACCCTAAGTCCTAAACCCTAAACCCTGACCCCAAACCCTAAGTCCTGAACCCTAAACCCTAAACCCCAACCATTGCACTAACAAAAACCCTAAACCCCAACCATTGCACCAAAAAAGCCCTAAACCCCCAACCTTTGCACTAAAAAAACCCTAAACCCCAACCACTGCACCAAAAACACCCTAAACCCCAACCACTGCACTAAAAAAACCCTAAACCCCAACCACTGCACCAAAAAAACCCTAAACCCCAACCATTGCACTAAAAAAAAACCTTAAACCCCAACCTAAGCTCTGAGGTTGGACCTGACGGTGAACTTCGTCACCGCGGAGGACTTGGAGGAGAGTCGGGGGCCCGAGACGAGTTCTACGGTGGTGTAAGCTTTACTAACCACTGATATTCCCATAATAGGGTTCAGGTTCATATTCAGGAGTCCCTACCCAAGAATCTTACACCCCCCTTTCGGCCTCCCATCAGGGTTTACATATGGGGTTGAGGGCTCAAGGGGTTTAGGGTTAAGGTTCAGCTAACCATTGATATAGGAGGAGTTAAGGAGCCAGGGATGATGATAATCCCTAGTAAATAGGAGCTAAAGAGCCAAGGGAACCCCACAACCACTGGTTAGTTTAGGAAGCTTTGGGTTTATTCATAGGTGGCCAGTGCCATGCTACTTCAAACATCGTGCTGCTTCTGTTAAGCGTTTTGCTTCGGCTTGGGCTTCATTTCAGCGTGCTGCCTCAAATCTGGGATAAAAATTATGAGCTCTTTCATTTTAGAAGGGTTTATCAGGGTACCACAAAGGTAGCAGCTCTTTTTGCCCAGGGGTTTCAGGGGTTTTGGGGTTCGGGATCAGGTGCTTTAGGGTTTGGGGTTTTCTAGGGTTTACGGTCGAGTTTAGGGTGCTTGTGGGTTTAGGGTCTCGGGTATTCTAGGCTTCAGGTGCTTCAGTTTTTCAATGCTAGGGGAGTTTAGGGTTGGGTTTAGGGTACTTTGGCGTTTAGGCTTCTTGGGGCTTTGTCAGCGTTCGCAAAAGTTCTCGGGGCTTTTAAAGTGGCTCTTTGCATAGTCTATACAAGGCTTCCTTGTTTTTCTAAAGCTGGCTACAGTAATTCCTACCTTGTTCTGAGACTGCAAGGGGGCCTAGGAGGGCGTTTGTTCAGTTTTTGCTTGTCTTGTTTCACCGAACCCAAGGCTGGTAGTACGTTGGGTTTCTCCCATCTAGACCCTAAGCCCTAATCCGTTTGACATGTAGCATCTGCTAAAGGGCTGACAGGGTTGGGTTTAACCCATCTAGACCCTAAGCCCTAAACCCTATAGATCCCCTAAAGATCCCTTAAAAGAATCCTATAGAGCCCTTAGAACCGACTTACTAAGTCCCGTACGCCTTCAAGTGGGAGAGGTTGGGTTTCCCGGGTTTCCGGCAGGATTCAGCTCAGGATATTTATGGAGACTGGAGATGCCTTGGGGCTCCCTTAGGGTTTAGGGTTGGTTTAGGGTTTAGGGTTTGTTTAGGCTTTTGGGTTGGTTTAATGTTTAGGGTTTGTTTAGGCTTTAGGGTTTGTTTAGGGTTTAGGGTTGGTTTAGGGCTTAGGGTTGGTTTAGTTTGGGTTTAGGGTTTGTTTACGGTTTAGGGTTACATGCTCTTCCATGTCTTTTGCGCGGCTACTTGCCGTATGGGTGGAGCATCGATGACCTGTTACCTTCCTCAGGGGCCATGCTTCGGGCAAATGTTTGAGAGTTCAGGGTGCAGGATCGGCGGGACTGTTTTACGTAATCGTCTTCCGTTACAGCTAAAGGTCCCGCAGTGTTCTAAGTAACTAGCAAAGCTATGGTGCTCGCCTGGGTCAATGGGGAGGCTACCAGTACCAAAACTGGTCTTGGCGATGTGTGAAGAATGATGCTTACCCATTCCGGCACTACGTGCTGGATCAGTGGGAAGCGTGGAAGGAGTCCTTCGAACCCGAAGGACGATTCAACGTAGGGCTTCCCCAAGCGTTTCCACCTGTGGATTCCGACCAGCGTCAGCAATGTCATGACTCCGTGGCATTCTTGAAAGAGCTGCATGCCGAGAACGTCCTCGAGGAAACCCGGATGGCTTCGCCAAGACCGTGTATCAAACCACGAGCATTCCCAAAGACTCGAACATCCTTTAGTTCAGGAATATACATTAACTCATACTAGGGACCCTACTATCACATGATAAGTAGAGGTAGACTCCGCAATTAAGGGATGTTGCTTTAGGTTTAAAACATCTTCAACCCACTAAGTTGGGTCTTCTTTGCAGGTGGCAGCCTTTGAGAAACTCTGAAGCAAAAGCCCGGGCTTCGCGCACTGAAGGTGTGTACAACCTCAAGGCCAACATGATGTTAGAGGACCTCTATCTGACGGGGAACCCATGCCAGGGCCCAAGTACCAGCACCGCCGAATGGCCCTTTGATAGAGCCCTTATGGTCCTTAATAGCGGGTATTTAGGGTATGCTTGTTTAGTTTTCCGATACCAATGCTTGACATTTTCTAAGCTCTTCCAGTCCAGCACTGATTAAGACCTTGTTTTTCATGTTCTTGGGTATTGGGTAGTTTGTAGGGCTCTCAGGGCTTAGAGTCAACGTACAATAGAGGGTACATTGATGGAGGATCAGGGGCAACTGCAAGCGTTCACACGTTCAGGGCTTTTGGGGAACTAGTTGTGCTCAGACAGTATGGGACAGTACAGCGCTGGGAATCATTGCAAAGACCCTGAGAACAGCGCAATCCGGCTTGAACACCGCTCATTATTCCTGTCTTGGAGTTCTACTGCATTGACCTCTTGGACTAAGGTAGAGACGGTATGATGTAGGGGCCGTAATGATTAGAACATGGTTTTGGGGGGCTCCTGATTATAACTATAGTAAAATGTACCCCCAAACCCTATTCTCATTCTTAAGGCCCCTACAATATAGTACCCTTATAGATCCCTTCTAGTAACCCTTATAGACCCCCTTTCAAGCAACCCTATTCTAATCTCAGGCCCCTATATCCCAGAGACTCCAATATCCCTTAATGAAGGAATATACCTTAATTTATAGTAGGATCCCTAATATGATTTAAGGAATATTCCTCAATTAAGGGATATTGGAGTCTCTGGGATTATAGACGGAACAGAGCCCTGTTGTCTTCCAGGGCAAGCCCGGGTCTTCTTTGGATTTGGTCCTATCTCGACGAGAACCTCGAGTGGGGTCTAGGGTTTAGGGTTTAGTTTAGGGTTTAGGGTTTGGTTTAGGATTCAGGGTTTAGGGTATAGTTTAGGGTTTCGGGAGAAACTCGTGGTTCCATCCCGTTTACTGATGTCGGGATCTGCACAATTGGTATTAGTATCCCCTTGTAGTCAGTCCCAAAACTTAAACCCCTTATATACTGACCACCCCAAAACCGCACTGTAGTTTGTGAGCCCGCAAGGTTAGCCTGACTACTGAAAATGCCAGACACCCTGACTTGCAAAGTCCCCAAGGCCGTAAAGCCAAATAGGTACTCAACCAAAAGTAGCCTAAAGCCCTGTTCAGGACGAAAGCTAAACCTGAAACCATAGACCCTAAACCCTAATCCTAAACTCTAAACTCTAAACCCTAAACCCCCTAAACAATAATCCCTAAACCCCCTAAACCCTAAACCCTAATCTCTGAGCACTTGAGGTGCCGATTGGTCCGGCTGCAGGGCTTACGTCGTTGCCCACCTGCGTCTTGGCTGGGGCTTATGTCGATGCATGCGGGCGCTTTGGGGCTTTAGGGTTCGCGGCTTTTTCCTTGCAAGAGGCTTGCGATCAAAGGTTTAGGGCAACCCTAAACCCTCAACCCAAACCCTAAGCCCCTAAATCCCTAAACCCTAAAAGCCGAGTTTAGGGGCTTAGGGACGGAGGAGGAACTTTCGGGCAATTAAAGGAAGACGGATCGGGAAACAATGATCGGAGCGGGCGCACTGTGCCGCAGGCAGGCACAGTCTCTTAGGCCGTGAAACTCTTGGGAAATCAAAACCTAAATCTAAATCTCCTTCGACGCCCCAACGTCTATACTAAACCGCACCCTAAACCTTACGCCCCGCCCCAAGGCGACAGCTAACCTTGCCCTGGCAAAGCGGGCCCTGCCAACTGTAAGCGCCAAGGTGGCGCAGGAATCACGGCTGACTCTCTCTTGCAACCATCGTATCGTGTCGGCCTTAAGGTATAACCTTTGACCCTAACCCTCTCATGCACCCCAGCCCAAGACCCAGCCAGAGCCCCCGACGTCTTGCAATCGCCTCCAATGTGGTATGCTAGGCTTATAAAACTTATATATGGGAGTTCCTTGTTTCAAAGTAGCAACACTTTTCAAAGGTATTTCTGCCTCTATGTCAGGGTGTTACCGCACCTCAAACCCTACGCGCCCGAACAGTTCCCAGGTAAGCTCGGAAACGCGAACCTCTACTGTACTACTGCTCCCTACCCAGCGTCTGAACCAACCTTTACTTAAGGAATCTTCCTGCATTCTAGCAATACACGTGTCTTAATAATTACCTACATTATTCCGGGGGCTTCCTTATTATAGTGAAATACCCCCAAACCCTATTCTAACTATTAAATAAGGCCCACCACATTATAGTACCCTTATAGATCCCTTATAGTAGCCCTTATAGACTGCTTTAAAGGAACCCTGTTGAAAATAATAATGCCCCTATAGTAGGAATCCTGGCTTGCACATAGGAGGAGATCTTGCATTCTATGAGTCCGGGATCCGCACTGAAAGGCCATAAAGCTCCCTAAATGCATTACTGTAGTGGCCTTAATAATTAGAATTGGGTCTTGAGGCCCAATGTACTACATTTATTATGAGGAACCCTTAAACGCTATTGAAATGATGAAGGCCCTTACAGTATTAAAATAGAAAGAGGCCCTAACACATCAGAAAACCTACACCCTAAACCTTAAAGCCTCAGCGCCCACCCCTGAGCCCCCCTCGCTAAATCAAAGCAACCTTCTGAAGCCTCAGCTCCCTGAATCACGAGTCCTGATGGAATACTTTCTGTCTACTTGGATGTTCATGGGTTTAGGGTTAAGGGTTTTCGTAATTAGTTATAAGTGCGGTTATAAGAAGGGGTCCCTGCGGGTTGTGTAGGCTTTAGGGTTTCAGATTCTAGTTCTCTGAGGCCGCAGCTGAAGCAGCTGGATGCAAAGCTCGTGGCGCACTCAACGGGCTTATCAGGGTTTCTCTAATGAATGAATCTAATGCGGATTCTACCCAGAGACTCCAATATCACTTAATTAAGCATATACCTTATTAAATCATGGTAGGATCCCTCATAGGGTATATTCCTTGATGAAGGTATTGGAGTCTCTGGGTACAGGGTTTTACTAGAGTCTTCGTCGAGGGTGTGCCTACATTACCCTAAACCCCAAACGCCTATCCCTGAGGGTTCAAGGTGTGGAGGGGTATCGAGGGATGTTGCAAACCCCAGACGGTTTAGGGTTTAAGGGTTTAGGGTTTAGGGTCCCTATTAAGCCCTGGTGGAGGGCTAGTTCGGGGTTTGAGGTTCGGGCGCGGGATGAGGGTTCAGAAGTGAGGATCAAGGCCAGCGCTTCAGGTTTAGGCAAGGGTTGAAGTTTAGATTTAGGAGTTTAAAGTTTAGGGTGTAGGGTATAGGGTGAAGAATGTAGGGTGTAAGGTTTAGCGTTTAGGGTTCCGGTTGGGTCCAGGTTTTGTTGGAAGCTTTGGCCTGTGCCTGATCACCCGTCTCCCAGTGGACCCTAATTCAGAGAACCACCACCCCCACCCCCTCGGCTTTTGATTTGCAGCAAGCTATTGGGGAAAGTCTCGTTTGTAGGGTCTGTTTTGAACAGCAGACCGTTGGGGAGGTCCCATTTGTAGGGTTTGCCTTTGCAGCAACCATATGCAAGCCTTCATTTTGCGCTTTTTGTAGATTTCGAGTTGCAACATGTTGTTTTGCTTCAAACTGTTGGGGGAAATACGGTGTGCAGGGCCCTAGTGAGGAATAAAACTTGTCCTGAAACGTCTTTTGCTTCGGGGACACTGCAGGAGTTCAGCTGATCGATGACAAGGCTTAGGATAGGGTTTAGGGTGTAGAGTTACCGGCTGAGATCGCATATGGGATTCAGCGGCAAGCCGCTAGCTTAAAATTTAGAGCCTGTCGGGCTCTGGCTCCAGACGCAACTTACCTTTGGTTAGTAGGGAATGGAAGGGTGGTAGTGATAGTAGCTATAATTGTACCCCATTCCTCCATTCCCTACGAACCAAAGGTAAGGCAAGCCTCAATCTGTGATGCAGCTGTTTCGGGCAGACTTCTTTTGGGGAGAAAATGGTGTGTTTCTTTGTCCACCTTCGGTAAAGTCCAGAACCATTGTCGTTTCGAGTTGAGGGCGAGGCTTCATCCTGCCTTCACTTCGAGGGTCGGGGGACTTAGTAAGTAGGTAGTAAGTAGACTTACATGTAAGTACCCTAAAAGGGACCCTAATTGGGGTTATGGTACTTATAAGTCCCTAAAGTAACCAGTTACTAAGTCCCCCAGCCCTCCAAGCATAGCTACATGGCTGATATTTTATTTCTACGTAGGCCCCCAGCCCTACACCCTGAACCCTACAACCTTGATGTTTGTTCTTGTCTTGCATTGTTTTACTATGGTATCGAGAGGAGTTCTTCCGGTACTCCCGGTCTTTAGCTTCTTACCTCGATTACTTGAGCTGCTGAGCCCTCCAAATTCTCCAAGTAGCATGATTTTCCGGTTTCAACGGTTAAAGCAAAAACCCTAAACCTAAATCGCCTAAATCCCTAGACCCTTAACTATAAAGAACATATGCCACCTGCCCAAAGCCCAGATCATGCCGCGCGAGCGGATCAAAGCCCGTCAGCAGCTACCAAAGCTTTCGGCCCAGCTTCGGTGCAAGGGTTCCTTCAAGGGTTCCTTTAAAGGGTTGCTTTAAAAGTTTCTTTAAGGGTTCCTTTAAAGGGTTCCTTTAAGGTTGCTTTTAAAGTTTCTTCAAAGGTTCCTTTAAGGGTTGCTACAAAGGTTCCCCTGACGGTTACTGTAAGGGTTCCTTTAAAGGGTTCTGTTAGGCTTACTATAAGGGTTCAGTATAGGGGCCTGAACAGGTAGAGTAGGGTTCCTTTAGTGCTTTAACATTTCACTGGAGGAGCGTGGAGAAGAGTAGTTGCGTGTTTTTCCCGAAAGCGTCGCGAAGGGTTCTTCCGTGCGGAGCCCCGCAGATGAGTACATAGATGACAAACATAGAATCGAGCACATGACCTTCGTGTCATGACTCTATGACTCTATGACTCTAAGACCGAACTTGACTACTCTTGACTACTCTATGACTCTATGACTCTATGAACTTGAGAACTCTGTGACTTACTCACTTGACTACTCTATGACTCTGTGACTTACTCTGTGACTTACTCTGTGACTTACTCTGGGACTTACTCTTGACTTACTCTGTGACTTACTCTGTGACTTACTCTCTGACTTACTCTCTGACTTACTTTCTCTCTGACTTACTTACTTACTACTTACTACTTACTTACTACTTCTACTTACTTACTTACTTACTACTTACTACTTACTGACTTACTTACTTGACTCTACTTACTTACTCTCTACATCTCGGTATCTAAATCTCTCTTCTAAAGCCGGGGGTGGCACCGTCGGCGTCCATCGGGAATGCAACCCTTCACAGGGATTCGCCTCCTCGGGCGTTCAAACGCGAGGTAAAGTTACACATTTTAGGCGCCCGGGTGAACCCTTCACAGGGATTCGCTGCCTCGGGCGTTCAAACGCGAGGTAAAGTTACACATTTTAGGGTTCCCGCGCAACCCTTCCCAGGGATTCGTTGCCTCGGGCGTTCAAACGCGAGGTAAAGTTACACATTTTGCGGTGCCCGCGCAACCCTTCACAGGGATTGGAACTCTCGGGCGTTCAAACGCGAGGTAAAGTTACACATTTTGCGGTGCCCGCGCAACCCTTCACAGGGATTCGCCTCCTCGAGCGTTCAAACGCGAGGTAAAGTTACACATTTTTCGCGCGCCGCGCAACCCTTCACAGGGATTCGCCTCCTCGAGCGTTCAAACGCGAGGTAAAGTTACACATTTTTCGCGCGCCGCGCAACCCTTCACAGGGTTTGGGCGCAGCTCAACTGCATTTTGCAACCCTTCACAGGGATTGGCATTTTGCAACCATTCACAGGGATTGGCATGGTCGAATGCACGAACGCTAGGTAAAGTTGCATTTTTTGATGTGCATTGAAATGAATTTTGCAACCCTTCACAGGGATTGGCGTGGTCGAGTGTTCGAACGCGAGGCAAAGTTACATTTTTTGATGTGCATTGAAATGAATGTTGCAACCCTTCACAGGGATTGGCGTGGTCGAGTGTTCGAACGCGAGGCAAAGTTGCAATTTTTGATGTGCATTGAAATGAATTTTGCAACCCTTCACAGGGATTGGCGTGGTCGAGTGTTCGAACGCGAGGTAAAGTTGCAGTTTTTGATGTGCATTGAGATGAATTTTGCAACCCTTCACACAGATTGGCGTTGTCGAGTGTTCGAACGCGAGGTAAAGTTATTACTTTTGATGTGCATTGAGGTGAAACTTGCAACCCTTCACAGAAATTGGCGTTGTCGAGTGTTCGAACTAGTACTAGTACTACTACTACCACTACCACTACTACAACTATTATTACTACTACTACTGCTACTACTACCACTACTACAAAAGAATACTACTACTACTACTACTACTACTACTACTACTACTGCTATTACTACTAGTACTACTACTACTACTACTACTACTACTACCACTACTACTACTACTACTACTACTACTACTACTACTACTACTACTACTACTACTACTACTACTACTACTACTACTACTACTACTACTGACTACTACTACTACTACTACTACTACTACTACTACTACTACTACTACTACTACTACTACTACTACTACTACTACTACTACTACTACTACTACTACTACTACTACTACTACTACTACTACTACTACTACTACTACTACTACCACAACAACAACTACAACTACTACTACTACTACTACTACTACTACTACTACTACTACTACTACTACTACTACGACTACGACTACGACTACGACTGCGACTGCGACTGCGACTGCGACTACGCGACGACGACTACTACTACAACTACTACGACTACCACTACTATCACTACTACTAGTACTGGTACTGCTAGTACTACTACTACTACTACTACTACTACTACTACTACTACTACTGCTACGACATAAAGTGACCATGCATAGAGTCATAGAGTCACGTTGAAACCACAGTCATCAGGGATGTCTATATAGTGAGGTTCCGGAGCTAGGAAAGGAAGACTTCTGCGTCATGTTGGACTATACCCTAAACCCGCTAAACCTGAACATTAGTGTTCATAGAGTGAACTACATCAAGTCAAGTGCGTGGTACATAGATGACTCCATGACTCTATAACTCTTTCTCACTCTGACGCTATGACTCTATAACAATATGACTCTATGATTCTGTCTCACTGTGACTCTATGACTCTATATGACTCTATGACTCTTTGAACTATGACTTGTGCTTGACATGTACTCGACTCTATTTCTCGATGACTCTATGAACTATGACTTGTACGACTCTTGACTGTATGTGACATTCCGACTCTGTGACTCCGTGCTTTTGACTCGGTGACTCTATGACCCTATACACTGGATTCTATGACGTAGCGCAACACTCTTCGCTGATGATGCTTTCGGGCCAATTGTCTTCTAGTTTTTAGTATAGGGGCCTGAATAGTTAGAGTAGGGTTCCTTTAGTGCTTTAACACTTCACTGGAGGAGCATTGCGGAATGGCCAAGCGGGTGAAGACCCTGGAGGACCAGCAAAAAAATGTTGACCACCAAGCAGCAAGAAGAGGCTTGCGGAGGCACGCCAGCGTGCGCGTGCCAAGGGCACCCAGGTAGACCACTTCGTGACCTTCATGCAGACGGGAGATACGAACTCCGTGACCCTTCCAGTGACCCGGAAGTGCTGGAAGAATCTGCTGAAGCACTTCTGAAGTCCCGGTGATAGTGAGCATCGGCTTCAAGTCCGTTGGGGTTGGAACTATAGCTTCGTCGAGACCGTGTCTTGGGCCACAGTTAGAGTAAGTTTCCTTTAGTGCTTTAACACTTCACTGGAGGAGCGTGGAGAAGAGTAGTTGCGTGTTTTTAGTAGAGGGGCCTGAACAGTTAGAGTAGGGTTCCTTTTTAGTGCTTTAACACTTCGTTGGAGGAGCGTGGAGAAGAGTAGTTGCGTGTTTAACCTCAAACCCTAAGCCGGAAATCTTCAATGCAAATCACGAAACCACCCTTGACCCCAAGCCTTCAATGAATCCTGAACCCTAAACCCTACCCGTAAGGGTTCAAGTGATCCTCATTGTATGGCTTTGGGGCCTTTTTGGGAGTTCGACCCTTAGGGGGACTGTAACCCTTTCATCAGCATTCCACCGAGTGTTTGTGTGTTGCACGCACTCAGGCCTTCCCCAAAGAAGCTCCCGGTCCTGTTTCACAGATAGACGAACATGTCTGTGCATATAAAAAAAATATCTATATATACATACATACACGTACATTATATGCTTTATGTGTATATATATATATATATATACTTATACACTCATATCTACACACACACATATATGTATATATATATATATATATATATATACATATATGGTCTTATATATATGTATATATATATATATATATATATACATATATAAGACCATATTAATCATTGTCCTCTTTCCGTCAAAGTAAAGTAGAAGGAATCCCAGCACTGCTTGTCATCCTTGATGCCTGTTCCAACTCCCTAGCACGAAACCCCCACACCCCCAAACTCCCCCTAAACCCTAAAACCCTAAGTTCTAAACCTTAAACCCTAAAACCCTACATTCTGAACCCTAAAACCCTAAACCCTGTAAGCAAACCCTATAAACCGTGGTCTGTTGCAACAAGAGAAGCTTGCGAAGGCTCCAAAAGGAGCTCGAAGATTTAGCGGAGGCTGCGACATCTGTCCGTGGGTACACGGTTTAGGCTTCAGGTGTTTAGGATTTAAGGTCTACGGTTGACGGTTTACGGCTGAACATTTCGGGTTTAGGTTTAGGAGTTTAGGGTTTAGGGTTTCGAGTTTGCATACGGTTTAGGGTCGGGTGTAGGGGTTTGGGGTCCTAGTACTCTGCATTATAGGACTTTGGGTACCAACAACCATAAGTAGCGACTAGTTGGACCCTTAGGATTTAGGGTTTAGGGTTTCGAGATTGTATACGGATTAAGGTCAGGTTAAGGGATTTAGGGTTTACGATATCCTCTCTGATCGACGGTTGTGGAAGACGGCGGACTCCACCCTAAACCCCAAACCCTCTTTCTCCTTTCCCAAGGCTTCCGCTATTCGGATCCAATCTCAGCACCTATCAAGTCTCCAAGACATGTCGGTTTTACATTTGAATACATACGTGCAAACATACAAACACACAAACATACATACTCGCGGACACACGTACATACATACCTACAGACATACATGCATACATACATGTGTACACATGTCGCAGACGTAGGTATGTATTGATTTCCGTGTGTTACCCAGCATGTTTCGATTATGTTTTGTATGTATTCGCGTTGGCTTATTCCCTTTTTGTTCACAATGTTCCTACGTCTCTAAGAACGTTTGTTCGTTCGTGCGTGCATATGTTCATCTATGCATCCGCTTGCTCGTCCATTCATCCATTCATCCATCCATTCATTCATTCATTCAGTCATTCAGTCATTCAGTCATTCAGTCATTCAGTCATTCAGTCATTCATTCATTCCTTCCTTCCTTCCTTCCTTCCTTCCTTCCTTCGTTCCTTCGTTCGTTCGTTCGTTCGTTCATTCATTCATTCATTCATTCCTTCATTCATTCCTTCATTCATTCCTTCATTCCTTCATTCCTTCATTCCTTCGTTCATTCCTTCATTCCTTCATTCCTTCATTCCTTCATTCATTCATTCATTCATTCATTCATTCATTCATTCATTTTTCATTCATTCGTCCATTCATTCATTCTAATTTGCTGGTTCATTCACTCCTTAAGCTTTTGGCAGCGAAACCTGGGCTCGGTGTTCATGGAATGCTTTTTGAGATTTGTATCCCTTCCGTCACCCAGAATTTGGGAGTTCCCGAAAATGAGGGGTACCTTGTTTTGGGGTCCTTCTAAAACGGATTCTATTATTTAAGGTATGCTGCTAGGATCCCCTATTTTCGGAAACCCCCCATATCAAGAAACATGCTGTGCTGAAGCCGTGCTGCCTTAGAGGCCTTAAGCCCTACCCCAAACGCTAAACCCCAGACCGCTTCATCTCCCGAGCCTGACACCCTAAAGTCTAAGACCACGCCCGAGTGCTTGTGGCTTCTAGGTTTGGGGTTCAGAGTTTACGGTTTAGGGTATGAGAGTTTCCGAAAATAGGGTACTAAACAATAGGATCCTTACTATAAGGACCCCCAAAATAAGGTACCCCTCATTTTCGGAAACTCCCAATATCAGGCAGAAGTATACTTTTTCAAACCCACGAGGTATGAATCGAAAACCCTACTCTCGCGCGGCCGTCCCGTGAGCCCCTCGAGCACCTCTCTGAAGCGGTTTTGGGCTTACTTGGAGGGTCGGGGGTCTTAGTAAGTAGGTAGTAAGTAGACTTATAAGTACCCCAAAAGGGATTCTATTTGGGGTTATGGTACTTATAAGTCCCTAAAATAACCAGTTACTAAGTCCCCCGAGCCCTCCAAGTAAGGTTTAGGATTTAGGGTCCAGGGTTTAGTGTTTCGGTTTTAGGTAGAGTAAACCCCACAGTTGTGGTCACATCCTTACTTAGGCTGGCAGAGTGGCTCCCATTCCCTCCCAGACGAATCCCAGCTGTGTTCCGGCATCTGCCGATACCAGCATTTCCTGGCTTGACTGTGGGTTCCCTAAACCCTTATCATCCCTAAACCCTAAACCGCTTGTATTGTGCGAAGGAATTGGGGCATCCTCTTTGCGACTCTCGTAACGTTGGGTTTAGGGTTTATACGTTTTGGGAGTTTAGGGTTGTATGGTTTAGGACCTAAGGGGTCAAAGGGTTTATAGAGGGCTTCGGGTTTCATATTTCAGTTGCCCAATTTAAGGCCAATCCCAGGGAGGACAGCTTCACGACGCCTCGCGGACATGGGATCAACCAACACGTGCTCACGCCTAAAAACGGAAGCCCTTGCACATTGATGTCCAAGGTTGAAGTTCAAGCCCTGAACATTCCTATCCCAAGTTGTCTTTAGAAGGCTTCAAATCTCCAAAGCGTGGACCCTTTCGCCGTCGAGGGCCAAGCTGCTCGAGCGGCAATGTTGAATCCACAAGTTGGAATCAGATGAGTTTGCTGTGTTTCCGCATGTCTGTACTACGATTGTGAGACTTCGAACTTTTTGCTGGGGAAGCGCAGTTATGCTTTCACGCGAGTTCAGCTTGCGGTGTGCGGCAAGCCATCCAAACGCCACGGTCGCATGTAATGTGGTGCACCATGTGTGTTGAGCCAGAGCTACGCATGCCAAATCTGTGGCATTGACAGAACCCTAAACCCTTACACCCTAATCTCTATACCCACAGCCTAAACCCTACCTATAGTCTCGGGGTTACCTTAGGTTCCTTGACATGAAATTGGTTAAACCAAAAGAAGGAACTACTATGGAGACTATAGGTAACCCCACAATGCGACGTGCTTTGGCACCTCAGCTGTAGGCACCGGACTTTGCGTCGAGCCTAGGAGCGAAGATGTGGGACTTTCCGAAAATAGGGGACCCCAATATAGTACCCTTTAATAGTCGGATCCTTGTTATAAGGACCCCAAAATATGGTACCCCTAATTTTCGGAAACTGCCATGTTATCCACTCAACTTAACTTGCCTCCCTTTCGGTTGCAATGAACATTCTTCGTCATAGTTGGGTAACATGTAGATTTCTATGGGTACTTAAGCCCAATAAGGAATAACAATGTACTGGTTTACATCCATCCCAACCATGAACTAGCATTGAATACACACAGGCCATAGGGTATAGGGATGTTCAGGGTTTAGGATTTCCATAAGATACTGCAAACGGAAAACCACCTTTAATCGCCGAGCTCATTCCAAGCAAACTCAGTTTAAACGAGAAGCTTCATTGAAGCTTGCCAGGTTTGGGCCTTTGGGGTTTAGGGTTTCAGGTATAGGAAGAAGCGTAGGGTTTAGGGTTTGGGGGATTGGGTTTGCTGTGCCCCCAGAGGCCCGGCAGCCCTGAATCACACGTCGTGTCCCTAAACCGTAAACCCTAAACCCCTAAACCCTAAACCCCTAAACCCTAAACCCTAAACCCTAAACCCCTAAACCCCTAAACCCTAACCCAACTGTCGACGACAGTTGGGTTTCCCGGCTTTCCGTCGCCAGATTTCTGTCAAAGTGTTAAATCACGAAACCGATCGCGAGTAGGGATGATTCCCACTTTCATAAACATGTCGCAGGTTTCAATTCAATCGAAGTCTCAGAGTTGGAAGGTGTTGAGGTGCAAGGTTTACGGTGTGCAGCCAACAGAAAAACATCACTGCCCTCCTCAAACATCGAACCCCTGATCGTTTTTGGCAGGAAGCCCGTGTGAAGCGTCTCCGGGAGCTTGGCCAACCCGTCGACGAGGGGGCATATACGAAGGACGCTGCCGGGCGTAACCCTGAACACCAAGCCCGAAGCCATGAAAGTTACAAATTTTGAATCTTCAACCGTACCTGTAGCCGAAAAGACCTAGCGTTTTAAGGAAATATAAACAGAAACCATAATGAGGAACCCTAAAAAGGTACGTAGGTCTTTCCGGCTACAGGTAAGCCTGACCTGCGACCACGAACCAGGTTCAGAGTTGACTACAGGGTCCTAATGTGGCCTTGATGCCGAAGCCTTGTAGACTCATATTCATCTAATTAGTACACGGATGCGTAATAATTTAGTTGTTCTCAAAGTATCAAAAAATAGTCGTAGTGTTAGTGTCGCAAGACTAAAGGAATCCAGTCTATGTGCACCGTCTCTGCCCGAGGGGTTCAATATTTAATTGCTGCGGTTTTCGAACCTGCTTGCTTCTTGCTTAGGGTTCAGGGGTGCATATGGTGAACACTGTTGCACGGATTATGATTCAAATTGTTGTTGGCACTGCTGGCATGGAGCCCAATGGAACGCTGACGTGAGTGCGAGATCTTTGTTTCTTATAGTGTGTATTGAGGTACATCCTCGTGTTGAAATTGGCTCTTGCCTGCGCTGGTTCGAAGCTGCGAGTTGAAGGGGCAGCGGCAGCACAACGTCCTGACAAACCCACTGCGAATCTGCTGCTTCTAGGTGTTTAACACCGGTCTCGCAAGCAAATGCTAAGGTGTGCATGCCGAAAAAACGAAGCTACGAATGCCTACAAACCCCAAGCCCCAAAAGACATCCCAAAGACCTTAAGCCCTAAACCCCTGAGTCTGTAAACTCTTGACTAAAATCTCGATAGTTTCTATCTAAAATCACTACATTTTGGCAAGCAGCATATCTTTCATATCGTAAGCCGTTTAACCCATGACCCTGCCAAAACCCTATACCCATAGAATGAGTAACCTTAAATCTGACCAAAAACGTGTATGAGAGGAAAGTCTAAAGCTGTAAGATTTGCTTGACGCCCTAGAACCTTACTGCCCTTAAACACGACTTCCCTTTGGTTAGTATATAGGGTGGAGGAATGGGGTACTATTATAACTACTACTACTACTACTACTACTACTACTACTACTACTACTACTACTACTACTACACTACTACTACTACTACTACTACTACTACTACTACTACTACTACTACTACTACTACTACTACTACTACTACTACTACTACTACTACTACTACTAGACTACTACTACTACTACTACTACTACTACTACTACTACTACTACTACTACTACTACTACTACTACTACTACTACTACTACTACTACTACTACTACTACTACTACTACTACTACTACTACTACTACTACTACTACTACTACTACTACTACTACTACTACTACTACTACTACTACTACTACTACTACTACTACTACTACTACTACTACTACTACTACTACTACTACTACTACTTCTTCCATTCCCCACTAAGCAAAGGTAAGCCTAAAGCCCTAAACCCTAAACCCTAGCTATAGATGCCTTTAAAGGAACCCTATAGATCCTTTTAAAGGAGCCCCTTTCCCTACTATCCAAAGGTAAGACTCAATAAGCAAAGGTAAGACGAAGGCCCGACCAAACTGCGATCGCACCCTAAGTACAGGTCCTCATGGCAACCGTTCTCGGTACCCTCCCAGAGACTCCAATATCCCTTAATTAAGGAATATACTTTAAATTATAGTAGGATCCCTAATATGATTTAAGGTATATTCCTTAATTAAGGGATATTGGAGTCTCTGGGCTTGTAACAGCCACACGTGGGAGTTTCCGAAAATAGGGGGGTACCTTATTTGGGGTCCTTACAATGAGGATCCTACCATTTAGGGTACTATACTGGGGTCCCCGATTTTCGGAGACTCCCAAATACAACACTCCCCGTTCCCTGACGTACTTTCTATTGAATGCCGCTAAACCTGGCCTAAATTGTGGGCTTGTGCCCGAAACTCTATGTAAGCCTAACACCCCTTAAACCTTAAACCCTCCAACTCCAAATCCTAATCCTAAGCAACCCCCTAAGCCCTAAAGCCTAAGCACCCCCTAAAGCCTAGAGTGGAGAGGAAAGTCGCAACGAGATGTACCTCGAGCTAGCCGAGCAGAAGGCGGAGAAGGCCCGCCGTCTTCACATTTCCTTAGCTCAACTAAAGCATGCTACCAGGCATAAGAAAAGGCCGTGGTGGTTTGTCAGGGTTTTACAGGCCGGTAGGGTTTTATGGAGGTTCCCCTGAATCGCTATCTCACTTTGACGCAAGGGCTGTGAAGTTGCAGCACTAGCTTGAACAAGCTCTGCAGACTTTTCGGCAGGCGAGACAACTTATTCCTTGGGGTGCTTCATTCCCCATGTGCAGTAATTCCTAAACCTGCAAAGAAACCGAGCCTAAACCCGCTCCTGAAGCCCTAGTCAACCCTAAACCCTAAACCCTAAACCCTAAGCCCTAAACCCTAAACCCTAAGCCCTAAACCCTAAGCCCTGAACCCTAAACCCTAAACCCTAAACCCTGAACCCTAAACCCTAAACCCTAAACCCTAAACCCTAAACCCTAAGCCCTAGTCAAAACCACTCCGCACAGGAGCGGAACGAACGTCGGCGAATGGGCCTTTTCCTCGGCAAAGGGTGGGGTTTAGGGTTTAGGGTTTAGGGTTTAAGGTTCAGCAGCTCTGGCTTTGAAAATTTCAAGTTAAGCTATTTCTAGTCAAGCTATCTTCAAGAAGAAACCCCACCCGCCCAAAGAATCCCCTCACATTAGAATTATAGTTTTATTTCTTTTGGCTTGAATTATTAAATACTAACTTACATACGACTCAAAGAACCTATCATATTTTCAACCGTTCGCGAAAATAAACACACTAGTGACTTCACCATTGACGTTATTGCCTGGTAGGACCTGTCATAAACTTCAGACAGAAACTACACAACAGACATGCTGTGGATATCCATGTAGTGGCGGTCAGGGGTAGTGATTTAGCTATTGCTTGGAAATTGTTGCTACATGTACACGCCACGGCTTTGCAGAACATGTCGCATATTTCAGACACAAACTACACAACAGACATCGTACCTACATGTAGACGCTATGCTTGGCAGGCCATACCGCATATATCAAACAGAAACTACACAACAAACATCGTCGATTCGCAATCCAAGCTTACTGCAATAACAAGATAGGCTATACTTGTTTCAATCGGAGTGCTTGTCGTGACTACCCCCCAATACTCATGCTCTTGGCTTTCCTCGGACTGCTTGTCGTGACTACCCCCCAATAAGCGATGCTCATGCTCTTGGCTTTCCTCGCTAAACCCGAGGGGCCCTAAACCGTAGAGCCCTAAACCCGAGGGGCCCTAAACCGTAGAGCCCTAAACCCGAGGGAGCTCTAAACCGTGAGCCCTAAACCCGAGAGCGCCCTAAACCGTAGGGCTCTAAACCCGAGGCCTAAACCGTGGGGGCTAAACCCGGCGGGGCATCAACTCGCCACGAGTTTTGATCAACTCGCCACGAGTTTTGAGCAACCCGCCACGAGTTTTGAGCAACCCGCCACGAGTTATGATCAACGATTTTTTGGTCATTAGGGTTTAAATATACATAGGTAAATATGTTTAGGGTTTAGGGTTTAAGGTTTAGGGTTTAGGGTTTAGGGTTTAAGGTTTAGGGTTTAGGGTTTAGGGTTTAGGGTTTAAGGTTTAGGGTTTAGGGTTTAGGGTTTAAGGTTTAGGGGTTTAGGGTTTAGGGTTTAGGGTTTAGGGTTTAAGGTTTAGGGTTTAGGGTTTAGGGTTTAGGGTTTAGGGTTTAGGGTTTAGGGTTTAGGGCTTAGGGTTTAGGGTTTAGGGTTTAGGGGGTGGAGATCCGGGTACAGGGGCCTTAGCAATTAGAAGAGGCTTCGGGGGTGTAGTATACCATCATACTTAGACTGCAGAAGCCCCGAACTAGTATTGCTAGTTATCCGGGTTTCTATATTGCACCAGGGAGTGGGTTGCTTATTTTTTTTTTTCAGCTCTGTGTGGGGCTTACAATTTGGATGGGCAGATTGCTTTGTAGCTTTCTTGTATTTGTTGTAGCTTGCAGTAGCCCAGACAGGAGCGTGCGCGATAGACAGGTTGGAATACTCAATATTCAGTATGCTATAAGATGCCCTAGGAGCCCTGTTCGAATTATTGCCTAAGCCTAAACCGACTCAAGTGCCTATATCAGGGGATTGTTACTTGCATTGCACATCGAGTCGTCTATCGGAGAGAAGCACAGCATTCAAAATTCGCTCGGCAACCCCCTTTAAGCAAAAAGTTACGCGCTCCCCCAAGCAGAGCGGCTGTAGAGCCCCTGTAGCAACCCATGGAAGTCCTTCCAGGAACCCGAACGCCTGACGCACACGGGGTTAGTGGAGCGCCTTGCTCGTAGGGAAATGCAAACTACACAGGAATACATCCTCGCCTCACCTTTAGGATTTAGGTTAGGAGTTAGGATTTGCGTTTGAGGGTGTAGGGATTAGTCTTTGGGGTTTAATTAGGTTTTTCAATGCCTGTTTCCCTCGCTGTGGTTTGGGCTGATTGATTGGTTGGGTTTTGGAAGGGTGTATGGGAACTGCAGTTCTTTTAAAGAGCGACAGTTGCGAGGATGTTGCCTGAGATAAGAGGATGGCGACCCGAAAGCGCACGAGCTGGTCTCGGATTGGAGTCGCCCTGCGGCTCGATATTGACTTGGGACAGCGACTGGTCCCGGCGGGCACTAGAAGCTGTCGGTAACGATGCTTGGTGGCTGAGTGAACCCGGTCTCCGCGGCGGATGCCAATGATGGGGTATCTCTTCGAGAGGCACTCCTCCAAGAAGTGGTCAACGAGCTGAGGGGCCTGCGAGAGGAGGTTCAGGAGCTGAAGGCACGGCAACACCTTTGGGACTTGAATGTGGGTCGTAACTGCAAAATGATGTCGAGGCTGTTTCCATCTACCAGGATCCATACTGAAAGATTCCCATGACAGATCCCCCCTAAACCCCTCACCCCAAGCACGAATCCCAAACGTTGAAACGCTAAACCTAAACCCTACACCCTAAATTCCAAACCCTGGACCCTAAATCCTAACCCTAAAGCTCGAAATGGCCCGAAAGCCTTATATAAGATGGTCTTTAGGCCCAAACGCCTTAAAACATGAGTCCTTAGAGCCTTAGGGTAAGCCTCAGACCCTAGCAAGTCTCAAGAGAGCCTCAAAGGCGAGGGCACTTGGCGGCTTTCTTGCTTGAGACACGAATGCCAACACTGGAACCCCCGAAAGGTTTAGGGGTTTTGGGTTCAGGAGTTAGGGTTTAAGTTTCTCACTTCGGTCGGTTCAAAGTCGTGTGCACACACGCATCCATAGCGCATCTGAGCTCGAAATCGTAATGCCCACGAGCCCCAAGCCGATCTGCACCCAGAGACTCCAATATGCCTCAATTATGGAATATTCCTTAAATCATATTAGGGATCCTACTATAATTTGAGGAATATTCCTTAATTAAGGGATATTGGAGTCTCTGGGCAACTCACACCTTTCCTCTGCAAAGCCCTTAAACCCTCTACTTCCTGCTTGTTTAGATGCTGTCAGCATCAAGGGTACTACCATCGGGAAATCACGCTCATAACTAATGAAGAAAGAAACTTGTCGTTGTAATACTTATAAAGTTTACAATCCTAAGAATGGCCTTCACATGAAGGTGCCGAGCCGAAGGAACCCCGCGTGATGTCCGGACCTTACGTCCCCGGTCCGTGTCTGGGTCTGAGGGCTCTAAAGCCGAGGGGTTCAGGTTTTAATAAGGGTTCGAGAAGCATTAGGGTTTGAGGATTTTTACAGTTGGGGGAGTTTAGTTTTTGTAAGGTCCGGAGCAGGGTTAGGGTTTGAGGATTTCAAAGTTGAGGAATTTTTGTTAGGAGAGCGGTTCGAGAAGGATTAGGCTTTCAGCAGTTCAAAACTGAATGGTTTTGGTTTTTACAAGGGTTCGATCAGGCTTCAAGGATTCAATCCTGAGGGGTTTCGGTTTTTATAAGGGTTCGACAAGGAGTCGGGTTTGAGGATTTCAAAACAGAGAGGTTAGGGTTAGGGTTTTAGATTGCTCTTCCCAAATGGAAGTGTCCTGCAAGGGTTCGGGGGTTAGGGTGTAGGGGCTCGCAACCATGCAGTCTAGAAGAAGAGTAGGTAGCCTTTAACCTTTTCTGGGGTAGTATAGTCCCTATCTAATCCCTATAAGACCATGATACCCGACAAGTAGGTTAGAGTTCTACCAGGGCGAAGCCCTAAAGGCTCGGGCACTCTACGGGCTTTCAGGTTTGGGGAGTTTGGGGCCTTAGCGAATGGCGGGTTCAAGTTCACGGGCACACGGGGCGGTATAGATTTAGTGCAGAGTTTCAGCAAAGAGGGAAGCATGGCACGGACTTTGATTCCTAAACCCTGGGTAGTGAGATCCGCATCATAAAAGCTCAGCAGATGGACTCACTGCCTGCAGCCGCCAGAACATAGCAGAATCCTTCTAATCACGCCTATTAAATGACTTCGATAGAACAACACCCCGTAAACGTCAGTAGAGTTCTGTACACCCTTTCTGCAGATTTGCCACTTGCTCTTGCCGAGACCTGGTGTCTACAATGCCCGTGGCGAGATTCGCCAATGTCCTCACCTCAGCCAGGATTTAGGCTTGATGCTTTGGGGCTCGCGGCCCATGTTTGAGATCAGAAGTTACGATTTACCCCTAAACCTAAACCAACCGCAGGTTCATCCTGGTAAGGAATTCTAGCTGTTCTGCAGTTGGAAAAGAGCCCATAAACAAACAAATGCACACACATACACACACCGCCTAGGGTTGGGGGTTTCAGGTGTACAGTTTCTGGTTCAGGTTTTAGCAGCCTCTCGGTCGCCAGGGCCTCGTCGTCCAAGCTATGATGCTTTCTTGTCCTTCGTGTGGTGTGGATGGCACCTTTGCTTTATCTATCAATCCATTGATCTATCTCTCTGCCTATCTATCCATCTATCTCTCTATCAGTCGTTCTTTCTACCTGTCCATGTATCCACCCAGAAAGCTGTCTATCTATCTGTTTGCCTATCTATCTATCTATCTATCTATCTGTATCTACCTAGCTGTCCATCTTTCTTTCTAGCTATCACCAGCATCCTTATCTCATCGTTTTGTGCATAGATGTGTTTGTGTTTACATATGTATATATATATATATATGTGTGAAGCTACATATGTGTATATATGTATATATGTACTTTTGTTTATTTAAATATGTATGGAGACATTGCTTGGTTTTCGGTTTGACAACTCCCCCCATCGCCTCCCACCTCTGAAACTCCTGAAGCCGGTGGCATCAGCACAACCCAAAGGGAACATGTTCCGTTAGTGGGTTTAGGGTTTAGGGCTTAGGAGGTATCCGGGCCCCAAAAGTATACACTGTGTATAATATACTGTGCCGGACCCGTTGGGAAGGCAACGAGGGCAAGTACAACTTCGATCTGGACGACTGGACACATCCGGACAAGATCGTCTTCGAGCTGGCTGTCCCCAAGTGCGCCGGCATCCCGTGGGGGCTACCACAAAAGGGATCTATCTATCTGTCTATCTACAAATACATATTATATACATCTATAGATATACATATAGTAGTTACTTAGGGTTTGCTTACGTGCACTTAAACTAAAAGTTGTTGTTGGTTGCTACTGTCGCTGTTTCCGATGTTGTTTGTGACGGGATTTGTTGCGTTGCTTCTGCTGATGCTGTGGTCGTATTTGTACTCAGCGGTTCACGGAACGCTGTTCGAAATAATTCGAGTCAAGGTGACAGGAGCCATTGTTATGTAATGAAGCTAATCCTGTGGTGTAACAGCAATGTTGCCTGATGATGTTGCCATGACGGCAGCAATGCCTAGCAGTAGCATGATGGCGAATGTGATGATCATGTGATGATGGCGAGGATGAGGATGAAGATGATCATGTTGTTCGTCAGATTGAAGCTAACGTACTGAGAGTTTATAGGAGAACCTCAATCAACTTTTCTAGTTTCGATGTTTCGTGCTAGAGAAAAGCTTGGGCTTTTGCTAGCCTCATTACTGCGGGAGAGTGCAAAACACAGCAGGTACCTGGACACGTCAGCGTTGGATGTGGACATCAACCCCTCGTACATCCGAGTTGCGGCTCGGCGCGTGGTTTTCAGCCGTTTGGGTATCCCTTCACCTTACACCCCCACCCATGCAGGCCCGAAGCTCAAGCCACGAAACCTGACCAGCGGAAGAAAGACCGGAGAGTGGGCACTTATGAGGCAGTGCTGCTGAGTTTCCGTGTAACCTCCAGTAGGCATGGGATTTCGGCGTTCAAGAACTATTTTTTGTTGAGTGTCTACGGCCTTACTTTTCATATACTCAGACACCACTGGCGCTTAAGGTGTCGGAGGGTAGTGTTACGACATGAGAGACTTTCCAAAGCTAACATGCAAAAGCCCACTGATATCATTGCCTCCGGGGCAGTGAATGGTTTATGCCAAGTGCTGGTTGCAGCAGTTTCACGCACGATGGGGCCTATGTGGGAAGCCGTAAGCGCTACACACTGGCTCGTGCATTCAGCCGTTCCGGCGACGACTGCTACATTACTACAACTTACTACATATGCTTACCTCAACCACCACGACTACTTCTGCTGCTACTGCTACTACTACTACTACTACTGCTGCTGCTGCTGCTGCTGGAGTCGGGAATGGCCGTTCGGTGCGTCAGAGAAGAGCGTCCCTAACATTGGCTTCAATCAGAGAGGGTGCCCCTAAACAAGGTAACACAAACCCTCACGCAGAAAGGTACGCTGTAGGCAGGGCGTTCCACCCCAAGCCCCTACTTACTTCCCATAAATCCCTACAGACCCCTGAAGAGGGCAGCTGTATTTCTCTGACACCCCCAGGTCGTCAAAGACAAGGTCACCCAGCTGAAGCTTTCTGCAGAGGCTGGATCAACCTGTCAGGGTCCTGAAAAACACTGGTGTAGGGCTTTCGGGATCTTATGCAGATACAACTTCGTAGGGTGTGTTTCGACTTTGCGCGCTCTGGAGCTTGGCTTGTGCGTCGAGCGGCTCTTGTGTTTTCGAGTCTACATGTTTACCCTGAGGCCCAAATCCAAGGCTCTGGTATGCTCACGGGGCAAGGCATAGTCTGCTGTAACAGTCACTTGGGAGTTTCCGAAAATAGAGGACCCCAATATAGGAGAACTATTTAGGATCCTTATTACAAGTACCCCAAAACAAGGTACCATAATTTTCGGAAACTCCACTTACTACAGCCCAAACCTAAACCTGACATGTTCTCAAGAACGGGGCGTCTTCTCTTGAAGTCTTCATCTCCAGAATCGGGTGTTGAGAAAGATCTATTGTAGTATGGTCGCATAGATCTATTGCAGTACGGTTACATACATTGAAGGGTATATGCAGGCTAGAATTATTGCGGTTACTGATTCCAAAACACATGCATGTGTGTATACAGACATATGTAATGGGGTGTAACGCGTGTGTGTGTGTGTGTGAGAGAGAGAGAGAGAGTGTGTGTACCTGCTCTTACCCCTGTACATATGCATGCATGTGTATGTGTGTATAAGTATATATATATATATATATATATATATACACATGTATACGTATGCATAGTTGTTGTCTTTCCATACTACTGTGTCATAAGTTCTTTAGCCCTGAAGCCACAGCTCATGAATTGGCCTAGAAGCACACAACCACTAAAAATCAAGATCCCAAATCCCTCTACCACTTTAGAACAACTATCCCTGCAGTTCGAGCTCCTAAAGCCGTAAACCATCGCAAACCCTAAACCTTAAAACCCTAAAACCCTAAATCTCTGAGTCCCAGAACGAAAGTCATCCAAGTGGCAGGTGAGACCTGATGCTTCGAAGGTGCAGCGCTCGCGGACAACAGGCGATTTCATGTTAAATTTCATTTTTTATACTATATACTAAATTTCCGAGATTATACACTGGGTTTCTACATGTGGGAGTTTCCAAAAAATAGGGGTATCCTATTTTGGGTCCTTATAACAAGGATTCTACTACTTGGGGACTATATTAGGGTCCCTATTTTCGGAAACCCCCACATGTAGACTGTTCCGAATCCGTTCAGCGGCATCCTGCTTGGGTGCCTGCAGCATCATGCAAGGTTTCTCGAGGGGTTTCTGGAGAAATTCTCAAAGGTCTCCAGGGTGTTATGAAGCGGGTTTAGGCCGGGAGGTGAGACCACAATATCCTACGCTAATACATCAAAATCATACCAAGTCTACGACAACTATACCGCAGGTGCAACACTACTTGTAGTGTCGTCGCCTTTGTGGTTGCGGTGGCATAGTGGTAGTATCATGTTAGCTAATGTAGGAATCTGATTAAGAAACCTTGGGCCTTTATTAGGGTTCCCTATATGAACCCTACTATTTGGGGTTATGGGCCCAGGCTTCTAAATCAGGTTCCTACATTACTAGAGCACCCTTGTAGATCCCTTATAAAGGACCCCTTTAAAGGAACACTAATATTAACCCTAAAACGCCTAGTATGCGCAGCAACTTCACCAATCCCGGGATGAAAACCTGACCACTCTAGTCTTGGGGCCTTCGGATCCCGTAGGAGCCTGCAAAACTCCTACATTCCAGAAGCTCCCAGAGAGCACCCTTAATTAAGGCTTGCGCGCCTAAAAAAAACACCGCTCGAAATGTTGACGACGAGGAAGACAACGATGATGATGAAAATTACGATGGTCACGATGATATCGATGGCGATGGCAATGATGATAACGATGATGATGACGATGATGATAACAATCGTGGTAGCAATGATGATGACCTAGCGATCTGGCAAAGGTGACTGTGCAAAGACCTTTTGCCCCATACCTTTTCCACCCACAAATCTCAACAAACTTGCCGCGACCTTCAAAGTCATCGGCCCCACCAGTGTTTTCGCCTTCTGCCGTAAGACTAGCTTTGCAGCCCAGGTCCGGAGAATAAATCAGGCCGGCTTTTCCCAGCACACAAAAAGCCCACTGCTCAACACATTGATGACGATGATGATAACGATGATGATGAGAATGATGAAGATGATGGTGATATCGATGGTGGCTGTGAGGATGATAGCGATGTTGACATCGATGATGATAGCACTGATGGTCGCCTAGGGCGCCCAGAAAACTGGACACGAAATCGTGTCCCGTTTTTGCTTCTGCCACAATACCGCTGGGGAAGGTCAAAACGTGCGATTTTGCTGCGCCTGCCACACTTTTGTACACTTCCCTCGGCCGCTCCTCTGTAGGTTTTGTCTTCAGGGTGTTTTTTTTTAGGCGCGCGCGCCTTAATTAAGGAATATACCGTAAGATCCTTAAGTATGATTTAAGCTATATTCCTTAATTAAGGGGTATTGGGCTCTCTGGGCTGTTAGGTCTGAACAGAGCCATGGACGTTTGTGTGTTGGCACTCTCGGACCTCGATGTTTTAGAGAATCCGTGGTGCTAGAATGCACATGTCTACGGAGACAGTGCCATCATCAGTTTCATTCAGCGCCCACAGAAACCCCAAAACAAGACCTGAATTTCCCCCAAGTACACCAACCGGTCTGGGCCCTGTTGTGTTTGTCGGCCCTAGACTCAAGCATTCCTCAAATCCAATCCCTCTTGAGTCGTTCAAGGTTTAGCGCTAAGGGCTTCGGGTTTGCACGCTTTCTTCTTCGGAGGGAAACCTTAAATGCTAACCCCTAAAACCCTAAGCCCTATTCTCTGAACATCCTGATTATTAAGGCCCCTTAATTAACGGCATCGGGTTTGAAGGCTTGGTTTTCGGAGAGTTTCTTCGGAACCGCAGCCCGAGTTGGCAAGGCGTGCTCCATATCGACATGCCTCTCCTACAGCCTCATCAGGCGACCGGGTGACTGCCAGGGTTTAGGGAATGGGGGAATGGGTTATGGGGACTATTATTTTGGCTGATATAGGGACTACTTTAGGGATCCATTCCTCCATTCCGTACTAAGCATCAGGCGATCGGGTGATGGTGGTGGTAGTAAGCCTGACTGCATGGTTCCCTTTCAGTGAGCCTTCAGGGTTTTTTTAGGGTTCAGGGTTGGCTTAGGGTTTGGGGGTTTAGGGGTTTAGGGTTCAGGGTTGGGTTAGCGTTTAGGGTTCAGGGTTGGGTTAGGGTTTAGGGTTCAGGGTTTAGGGTTGAGTGAGGAATGTTTAGAAGATGCAGCTTGGAAAAGGAACCTTAGGAGCTGGACAGCGATGATGACCATGGTTAGGGTTCAGGGTTTGGGGTTTAGGGTTTTGCCGTAGAGTGGCGCAGAAGCGGAATGATCTTGAACCAGTGTAATTTCGAGTGCGTCGTCATGTGACGATTGGCCGTTCAAGCCTGATTGTGGCCACCCCACGCCGTCTAAGGCGGCCAAGCCACCCAAACCTGTTCCTTTTAGGGTTTAGCACCTAAACTCATCCACGGTCTTCTTTGCTTCTTGAAGGGCAGGGCTTGGCAGGGCAGGGCAGGGAGGGGCAGGGCAGGGAGGGGCGGCGGGGCAGGGCGGGGCAGGGGGGTGGCCAGGGGCCACGCCTATGCCTTGAGTTTAGGGGTTGGGGGTTTAGGGGGCACGATGATGCTGGACTGGACGGTGATGCTCGGGAGGATGGGGATTGGGGATGATGATTATAGTTGTCATGACAAGTCTTCTTGTTGTTCTTGCTTTTCAATGTTGAAGCTGCACATCATCACCAGGATGTGGTGGTGATGATGATGATGATGGCAATGACCGAGAAGATGATGATGCTGCTGATAACACGATGCGTGTGTAACTATCCCTGTGACGGTTTAGGCTGCACGAGTGTTTTCGGCCAAAGCCGAAACCTGCTATGCTTTGAGGGTCTGGGCTGCAGGCAGCTTCTCAATTAGCAACTCTGTGGCTTGGACTCTAAGCCCCTCATCCAAACCACTTTCACCATGCTGTCAAGCCATCTATACTCCAACAAAACTGCAAGTTATATAGGGCCCTTTAACTTAGATCCCCAATACCTAACCTTTAAACGTTTTGGGTTCTTATGGTTTAGTAGGAATCGGAAAGTTTAAGCTTTTGTTTAGGTTGCTTATTGGGGTAGTAAGTATAATAATACCCTGCAGAAACCCACAGCCCTATAACAGCTCAACGAAAGCCATCAGACCCTTCGACTCTCTACAACACTCACGCAGGGCTCTGATGTCTTGGTATACCTTAAAGCCCTAATACCCCAAAAACCCTTCAGCATCCCTGGGGCTCCAAACAGCCCAAAAGTAGGTATTATTTATAGACTTTAAGCCCCAAAGTAGGTACTATTTGTATACGTGGAGCCCCTGGGCATCCCCAACTCGACTTGAAACCAGCCCGGAGAAACTCCTTAAACACGAACTCCGTCAACCACTCTTACTAAGACCCCGACCTCCCTTGCTGTCAGACAAAAGTCAAAACCACAAAAATGCACACCCTAAACCGTAAACCTCTAAAGCTAAAACCCTAAAGCACTAAACCCCCGAACCCCTAAACCCGAAACCCCTAAACCCCTACCCTAAATCCCTAGTCCCTTAAACTCCTAAACCCCAAATCCCTTAAACCCCCAAACCCCTAATCCCTTCAACCCCTAAACCCCGAGCCCCTCAACCCGGAGGTGAAGAACCCAAAAGCTCCGGCACAACCGGAGCTCGAGCCGCTAAAGCCGGCGACGGAGCCGCGGGGCCGTGTTTGGGCTTTGGGATGTAGGGGTTTAGGGGTTTAGGGGTTGAGGTGTGTGGGGCTTTGGGGTGTAGGTTCGGGTTGAGGGCCTGGGGTGCAGAGTTGTTTTGTTTAGGGAGTTTAGGGCTTATTGCGGGTTTAGTGTCGTAGCTTTAGGGTTTTGGGTGTTAAGGGTTTGTGGTTCTGTTTTGTTTTCAGGGTTTTGTACCGTAGATTTAAAACAAGTTTGAGCTTTGGCATTGCAAGCTTTGGGGTTGAGGTGAGATTTCGGGTTTTGGAGTTGTGGGCTTAGGCTATGTAGCGCCCCTTTCTGTTTTTGCAGGGTGTAAGGGCTTTGGAGAGTTAAAGTGTTGGAACCGGGTGCTTCTGAGTTTCGGGTTTAAGTAGCTGGGAAGTTCTTGGTGTAGGGAATCGAACTTTGACTTTATTTCGATGCCTTCGAACCGCTCATTGTACACCGGACGTTTCGGCTGAATATCCTACCTTTTAAGGACTTCTAGAAGGAAACCATAGTAAGGAACCCTAAAAAGCTAGGTTTTTTTGGTGGGTTAAGGAAGGGGTGGTATTTTCGTTGGTAAAAGGGGTGTTTGGATAAGAAGATCCTGAGGCGAGTGGGTTTAGGGTTTTTGGAGTTTGGAAATTGTGGAGGGTGAGGGTGTGGAGTTTAGGTGCCGGGGCTTCGAGTTTTCAGTCCAGGGCTTGCCTATAGAGGTTTTGGTTTTTGGGTTAAGAGTTTAGTGTGTTGAGTGTAGGGCTTCGGCATGGACAGGGGCTGTCACCAGGGGCCCATCATAGGCTACTGCTACTGTTGTAAAGACCCTATACGGACATATCGGCTTCGGAGTCAGTTTTGAGATGTTCATCTTCCAGGACTTCTTGCGGTGGCTCAGTGTAGGGCTAAGGCTCTGGGCTAGAATGCTTCAAGGGTGTTGGTTTCATACTTGTTAGCTGTTAGGGTCCCAGAGCCCTGTAATTCTCTATGCCCCTGCCTACATCCACACTTCATCCTTCTTCTACTGGCCTCGAAAAAGGGTGTTTTTGTTTGATTGTTGTTCTGTTGTTCCTTCGGCCTTGTGTTTTATGGCTTGTGGTTTCTTGTTTAGTGATCTCGGCAACCCCAGGTCGGAAGGCGAGCAGAGTGAGTTCAGTCAGACGAGCTCTCACCTTGAGTACTCGCACCCCACATGTTCAACCAGCGCTCAGAGTCTAGTAATGCAATGCAGGGCTCAGACCCTAAACCCTAAATCCTAGTCCGTTACCCAGGCACTCCGAACACTTTTAGAACAAAGAGCAGCCCCTACCGTGACTTGCCAAGCGTGGGATCGTTCTGTAAGGGAAGTCCATAAATAATGCTTTCTCATCAGCAACTACTTTACCGCCCACCTCAAGCGTCTCGAACATCCACATCATACCGGGTTCTTGCTCAGGAATGGAATTCCTGTTACCGCAGTAGGGAAGTGCAACAAGCCAAATGCTTCCCTTAGTAGGTAACAAGTAACAAAGTAGGTTCCTTAGCAAGAACCCAGTGCTTGCAGGAGCCAACGCCTGCAAGGGCAGGTCGAGGGGGCTACCTTGCCGGTCTTCGCCTCAATGCCAATTGCTGGGCCTAGCAGGTGCAATAATAACTTCTAAACTTTCTGAACCCTTAACCCCCCAAGACCCTACAACCCTTCAGCCAGGGGTGATCACCAATGCAGAAAACAACGGACCCTAAACCCTATAAATCCTAACCCGAATCCCTGAATCCCGACAGCCCAACCCTTCATGCCCCGATGACATGGCTGAGAATCTTTAGCTTCTCCGGATAGAATGATCTCACAAGTGCCAGCAATGGCCGATGAGTAGAAGTAAGCAGAGTACCTGGTCAGGAGCAGCCGGCAGTCGTAAGTGCAGCAGTCCTAGTAGAAAGGGATTTAGGGTTTGGGGTTTAGAGTAGGGGTTGGAAGGAATGGGAGCAATAGTCCTTGGAAGCAAACAGCAATCAGCATATTTGTAGCAATCAGAGTGGTAGCAGTAAGCAGATTTGCATATGGTTGGTTGTCAAAATTAGGGTCCCTTTTTTGGTCCCTATTATACTACGGCACCTAATATTTAGGGTACCCGAAAAGGGACCCTAATTTTGACAACTACCCACATGCAATAGCAAAGGTTATTCTGATTTGCCGTTCAAGAAGCAGGCGACTCCAGGGTTTGTGCCAATCAGCACTCGGCGAGAGGACCATGCATGGGTCTACGAGAACTGACCAGCACGAGTGGAAGCCACTCTGTTTCAAGTTCAACTTCCGAGAGCGTCCGTGGGTACTGTACAGAAAAAAGAATGGGAAGGACCACGAGCCTTCGACCCGCGGATTCGCCCGTCTCCAGCAATCGGTCCAGGCAGGAACACCAAAGGCCTATGCCACACTGGCTCAAGTCAGTCATGAAGCGGTTGGTATCACACTTCTTTTCTCTTTTGTTTGTGGTTTTGGTTGTGTTTGTTTGTGTTTGTTTGTTTTGGTTTGTTTTTTTGTTTTCATGTTTTTTGTTTTTGTTCTCCTTTAGTTCGGCAATCAAGATGCCAACGACTGCTCAAGAGCTGACGGCAGCGGTATGGATGCAGGACAGTCCGCGGAGGAGCTGTGCCAAAGTGGGCAGCAATACCGATCAATGGAAACGTGGCTGCGCCGTTGTGGTTCAGGGTCCAGAAGCTTAGGGTTGTCGGTTAGAGGGTTTAAAGTTTTAGGGTTTGGGGGGTTTAGGCTTGGCCATCAACCTGCAGAGCATAACGCCTGCACCACAAGCCCTGAATGTATAACCCGAAGCCTCGAACCCTGAGCCTTGAACCTTCGGTTTCGGGTTTAGGGTGGGTTCAGGGTTTACGGAGCATATCTGACGCCTCGCCTAAGCCTTTAGCAGAAGTTCCGCGAAAACCTAAACCCTAGATGCTAAATCCTGAACCCTATAACCTTAAAGACCACCTTATCTCCACCAACAATGCCGAAACCCCGAAAGTCTAAGTAGACCCTAAACGACCTCAACTTTCATTCTGAAGTCTTCAGCCCTCAAACCTGACCCGGAATCCTGAAAAGCTCAACCCCTAAAATGATCTATAGGGAACTCCAGAAAGTTGGAATATGGATTAATGGTAGGATCCCCTATAATTTACCTTAAAGGGGTTACGATAATGATATTCCAACTTTCTGGCTTCTACTGTAGAGCCTAAATGCTGAAACCTTGAGTCCACAGGCTTGCAACCCAACCTGAATGCCTTAGATCTACAAGCATGATCTCAAAGAGCAAGCTCTTGTAAACTCCAGAGCCCTTTGACCCCAGCCCCAAAGCCACGAGCCCGGGACTTCGAGCCCCAAGCTCTTAAAGCCTAAAACCTTCCTTAACCCTGAACAACCTACCTTTTTAGGGTTCCTTATTATGATTTGCGTCCTTAAAAATGCAGGTTCTTCCGGGTCCAGGCAAACCCTAAATTCTACACCCCTGAATTCCTGAACCCGAGACCCCTAAACCCTAAACCCCTCCAAGCCTCAACCCCCTCAAGTTGTAACCCAGAGATCCCAATCCCTTAATTAAGGAATATACCTTGAATTATAAGGCCCTAATATCATGATTTAAGGTATACTCCTTAATCAAGGGGTATTGGGATCGCTGGGAAGGCCTCTACAGTCCGAGACAAGCGCTCAACCTCTTATAAAAGCCCCTAGTCTTGCACCCTTCCTAAACCCGTGAAGCCCCTACAGTAAGCCCTACAAGGGGTTTAGGGCGTGGCTTTAAGGTTGAGGTTTTTGGGTTTAGGGTTTAGGGTTTCGGAAAAAGGTGTTTTTTGTAAAAAGGTGTTGTTTAAAGCACCGAAAAACCAGGCAAGAGCTCCGAGGACGGCAAAGCGAAGACGGTCTCCATCCAAGGCATCTTTCCTGTTCCCTAAGGGTCCATGTACCTTTATAAGGAACCTAGGACTACAAAAAGGGGATAAGGGTACTACTGGGCATCCTAGTAGGTCTAAGCTAGGAGTTGAGGTCTAACCCTAAGGGTCCATGTATCCTAATAGCATGTACATTGGCCTTAAAGTACTCCCTATATAGGTACATTGGGCCCAAAGTATATGCTAAATGGGTACATGGACCCTTAGGGGTTGGGTAAGAACTCTGTCCTACCGGGGTCTGAACAGTGCGAATCGGGTTTTGGTTTATACCCCACCTAGCACTTAACTCCTACAAGTTTTGGGGGTGTGTATATATGTATATATATATATATATATCTGTATACTTCCTATAAATATATCACCAAGCCCTAGCTTAGAGCTAGGCTGGGTGCCTGCACCCTTCGTGGGGTATGGACTGCTCTAACTATTCAGGCATATTCAGGACCTACCTTAACCTTGAACAACCTACCTTTTTAGGGTTCCTTATTATGATTTCCTTACATATAAGTATAGAAGTCCTTAAAAGGGTAGGTCCTTCAGGGTTAAGGTACACCCTAAACCCTAACTATTCAATAACCCTAAACCCTAAACCCTAAACCCTAACTATTCAGACCTCGGGTATCGGCTTCGAGGCCTGGAGTCTGGCTTAACGACCCTGGAGGGACGGAGCGGAACTGCTCTTGCTAAGCCTAAGCCGTCAAGCATAGCAGTACTACCCGGACCCTGAATAAATTGCTAGGATCTAGAGTAGGCCCTTATTCCCCTTTTTTAGGGTTTAGGCTACCTTATAACCCCCTTTAATCCAAAAAGGGCACCCTTTTTATTCCTAGGTTACTCTTGGGTCTAGATTGTAATGTTTTTCTGTTGGTAGGGTTTAGGGCCTAGGGGTACGGGTTTGTTTGGCGACGCATTTCAGGGCTCCGGTCCGACATGACCAGAACATGGTGTAACCAAAGCTGAGTGTTGCCCAGTACGAGCTAGAGCGTCCGTTTTGTCTTTTGTTCTTTTCGTGAGGGGTGCTTCATATGACGAGCTATACAGGGGAGCACATTTGATCATGCTTCTAACACTTTCAAACCCAACATGTTAGTAGCCCAACAAGGCAGAATAGGTAACTTCGATTTTTTGGGGCTTGGATGGTTTTGACTTTCAACGCAGAGTTAACCTTTTCCGGGTTAGGGCTCAGACCGTCAAATTTACAACCTGAAAGCCCAAACCCTTTAACCCAACACAAGGGCTGCCCCAAGTGTCGGCCTCAAACCAACCCGAAACCTTAAACCGAGAAGCACGCGAGCCAAACGACTCAAAAGTGAAACCTCTAAACCCCGACCCGTAACTCAGCCCAATATGGCCCTAAACCCCAAACCGTAAAGCGTTTCCGTGAGGCATCTACCAAGATCCCCGTCGGGTGGCACCAAAGAAGCCGGCAGGGAACTCACTGTCGTGTTCTTGTGTATTTAGGGCGTGATTTCATAATAGTTAACTCTCAAGACTGCATCAAACAGCAATCTTGGAGCACTCCGTAATAATGCCCCCCTTGAGGGTACTGTAATTTAGGGGACTGAATAACTAGCGAGAATACTGCCTCATTGTCCCTACGTAAGTACAGTATTAAAAGGTTCCCCCCAAACTCCTGTCGAATGATTAAAGCCCCAATATTCCCCCTCCCCAACCCGCCGAGTCTAACGATACACCCTCGAACCCCAAATGCTACATCCCGAAATCCCAGGGTTTAGATATGTACTTTAAGGCCTATTATCATGGTTTACCGGGAAGGATTGCAATACAGGGTAATATAAAGGGTACTATTATGTTTACTCTAAGGCCTCTGATTTAAACGTCTGGAAGGTTTGGGATCAGGCGCCTACAAGCTCTGAAACCCCGAACCCCATGCCCCTAGACCCCAAACCCCAATCCATAAGCCCTAAACCGAACCCAAAGCCCTGCTCTGAGGAATCGCTCCTCAGGGAGGTGAAGACCACGCGCGCCGATCATGTGGGCGCGGGCACGGCAGAGGACGGTACGACTTGGGGTTTAAGGGCGAGGGTTTGGGTTTCAGGGTTTAGGGTTCAGTTTTTGGGTTCAGGTTCAGGGTTTTGGGTTTAAGGTCAGGGTTTTGGATGTTGATTAGGGGTTTAGGGTTGAGGGGTATGGACATGGGAAACTGCATGCAAGACTTAGGACAAGTCTTCTGCATTTTGAGTTTAAGCTGGCTTCAGAGTTTATGAACCGGTAACGCTTGAAGCCTCTCCCCCTGCCTTAGATCCTCCTACACTGAACCCTCAATCGGCAAAGCCTTAAACCTTTTAAGTTTAGCTAATTTCTTGTGTTTAAACTTTGGTGCACGTATACATATTGTATATCTATCTATCTACCTATCTATCTATCCCTATATGTATGTATGCATGCGTGCATGTATGTACGTAAGTATGTATGTATATATGTGCGCATATAACGGCACATGATAACTGCACAATGTCCACGATGATCCTTGTGAGAATGAATACTTTCAGTCTTGTTGTTCTGATGATTGCTGTTTCCGTTCTCAACGAACCATTCGTTGTGATGTCTTCATGCTGCTACGATTGCAGCTCAGAGTGGTATGGCTACTTCCTACTGCGACTCTTGTTTGCAACTCGTAGTGCTGCTGCAGCTAGTCTTGGTCTGACTTCCGATGGTTACTTCTACTATTACTAATGTCGTGATTGTTGGCTGACACCCTAAACCCTAAACCCTCAACCCAACCTCCTCCACGAGCTCCAGAAGCTTGCCATTGCATTTGCTCCCAAGAAGATGGTAAAAGTCCCCCACACCTGATCCTGTGGTGATGGGTGTCGGTTCAGAGTTTCGGGCTCAGGTTTAAAGCTTTCAGATTGAAAAACCGGGAGATTAGGGTGCCATATTAAGATTGTGTCCTGTGGTGCTACAGCGAATCGAATTTTGAGAAAGGGTGTGTTTTTCAATTCAAGCGTCGAGTTCTTGGGGCTTACGGCGCTCCGAGTTTAGGGTTGGGGTGATGTACTAGGTTCACTAGGTTCGCACGGAGGAAGGCTCTCGGAAGATTATGAAAAGTCGAAGACTTGAAGACTTGGGCACGATTACCTAGTAGTAGAGTAGGTATCCTTTAACCTTTGTTGGTAGTATAGTCCCTATATAATCCCTATATAACCAAAAAGGTTAACCTTTAGTTCCCCATGATACCCCGACAAGTAGGATTACAGAGTTCTAGGCCGAGGATGGAAGGTCTGTCCAGCACCTACCTTAACCTACCTTTTTAGGGTTCTCTATTATGATTTCATTATATAAGCCCTTAAAAAGGTAGGTTATTCGGGGTTAAGGTAAACCCTAAAACCCCTGAGTCCTAAACCCGATAACACAGAGACTCCAATACCCGTTAATTAAGGAATTTCCCTAAAAATATAGTAGGATGCCTAATGTGATTTAAGGTATAATCCTTAATTAAGGGATATTGGAGGAACCTAAACACTGCTACGTGCGCAGACGAGGACGACGACGATGACATTCCTCCTCTGGAAGCACGTAGATAGGCCAGACTCTGCTCGGGGGATCTGGCAGGTGGCTTGGCAACTCGACAATACATTTTTTAATTGCCCTGTAATATACTATACTTTACTGGCCTATCTTACATTATACTAAACTATGCCATGCTAAAGTATGATCGAACATACGACTATAGGTTTTGGTGTAGAGGGGGTTCGTAGGTTCAAGCCCCAAAACCCTGAAACCCCTAGTCTGGTTTGGAGCAACACTTACCGTTTCGACACCCTGCCAGAACCTTCCTGCAGGTGCAGTACTCGCAATGCATGTGCATATCCGCTTAGTTTGTTTAGTCCTGGGCGCTGCAACGGCATGAACACCTACATCTCAACTATGTCGTCTACCACCTTAGAACTGCTGAAGAAGCCTGTCTAACCGCGAATACTATTCCCTGGGGCTCCTTTCACAACTACATTTAACATACACCAAGAATCCTATTCTGGTTCTTAAGACCCCCATATTACATGGTGCCTCTCCCGATGCAGCGTCCATCTCACCTGGGGCCGCAAAAATTGCCGCCAAGACCAGTTGCATGGGCCGCAAGGCAAAAAGCTGCCCTAAAATCTATAAGGGTTTATCTAGAGGACTCAGTAAGTAGGTCATAAGTAGAGTCATAAGTACCTGAAATGGATTTACCCCAATTGTAACCCTACTTATATCCGACATACTGAGTCCGCTGGGCCTCCAGTTTATGGTTTAGGGTATGCCGCTCATAGGGCCTAGGCTTTAACTGTACCGTGATATAGCCAAAGAGCCCTACCCTAAACTCTGAAGGCGTTTGGGCTGATTTCGTGTTCCAAGAGCTTGAGCCTCATTGGACATTTGATAGTTGTGGTAATTCATCTTGTATCTCTCCTAAACCCACACCCTACACCCGTCACTCCGAACCCTAGCCCTAAGCCCTAAGCCCCAAATCCCAAGCCCCACCGTCTGGTTGCTATCTTACGCTTGCTATCTGCGGTTGTATACTTGGAAGCCCGAACTTAGTAAGTCGGTTATAAGTAGGGTTGTACTTGGGGTAACTCCGTTCATTGAGGGAACTTATACGTCTACTTATTAACCCACTTACTAAGCTCCTAGGACCTCTAAGCAGCCCGAACCCCCCTTATAGAACCGTTACAGATCCCTTTCTAAGCAACCCTTTAAGGAACCTGACTACTTGCTAAGTCCCCTGGGCCTCTAAGTAACCCTAATCCCCTTTATAGAACCCTTACGGATCCCTCTAAGTAGAGCGCCTGAGGGTCTGGGCACAGGGCATGTTTGACCAGGGTGCTAACTAATTCCGGGTTTATAGGTTTTAGGTTTGTTGGGTTCAGGGTTTACAGCGTTTAGGGCTTAAAATTTTGAAAGGGCGCTTGTAAGGTTTAGGGCTTACGCTTCATAGGGTTGAGGCTCTAGGCAGTGGGTTAGGGTTTAGGTTTTAGGTGAAAGTCCCTGAAGAACTATACTGTGACGTAGACACGGATCGCAGCCCTTCCTTACAGCTCATGCTCGGGTCCTGCTCCCCATCACTGGGATTAGGGTTAACGGTGATGATCGAAGATTTTATTTAGGTCTTAGGATTTCAGGGTTATGATGATGATGATAGTGACAATGATTGATGCAACAGTGCCTAAACCCAAAGCCCCAAACCACAAAACCCTAAAATCCGCTAACAGCACAAAACCCTGAAATCCCCTTGCCATGTTCGTCCCATGAGGATCCTGGCTCACAGCCGGGAGTGGCAGGAGAGCCCGGAGACATTGCATGTCCAGGGGATCCGCGCCAAGCCATGGTCGGCAGCCCCAAAATCTCTTGTTTCTTCTGGAGATCTAAAGCCTAAGGGGTTTGTGTTAGGTTCGTTTAGGGTGTCTAGGGCCCTTATTCCCGTGTTTTAGGGTTCAGGTTCCCTTATAAGCCGCTTTCAACCAAAACGGGCACCCCTTTTATTCCTAGGTTACTCTTGGGTCTAGGTGCTATAGAGTTATCATAAGCCCTCTGGAGCAGTTTAGAGTGGCTTAGGGTTTAGGCGTTTAGGGCTTAGGGTTTAGGGGTTTACGTTTTGGGGTTTAGGATTTCGGTTTGAGGGTTTGCTGTCTGGCCTTGCCGGGCCGAGCATCAGCGCATCTGCTGGGAAGGTTCTTGTGGCTGCTTGGAGGGTCTGTAGGGGACTTAGTAAGGGCTCCTTTAAAGGGGATTCTAAGGGTTCCTTTAAAGGGATCTATAAAGTAGCATAGGGTTTAGGGTTCAGGGACTTAGAAAGTAGGTAGTAAGTGGGCTTATAAGTACCCTAAAAGGGACCTCAATTGGGGTTATGGTACTTATAAGTCCTTAAAATAGCCACTTACTAAGCCCCCCGACCCTCCAAGTGTTCACAGGTCTTCAACGTTGCGTGTAGCTGCCTATTTGGGTGGTTGTCAAAGTTAGGGTGCCTTTTCAGGTCCTTAATATAGTACGGCACCTAGTATTTAGGGTACCCAAAAAGGGACCTTAATTTTGACAACTACCCATTTGGAAGTCGCAATGAGGTTGGGGTCCCAGAAAAAAGCCCCGGAGACGGAGACCACGAGGAGCGGACTGCGACGGGCTCCAGATTGCACTGGAGGAAGCCGTCTTCCAACTGCCCACTTAGCAACTTACCCAACCATAGTAATCACGCTTTTGAATGTCGGCGCCGTAAGGCCCTAAACCTCTCACCTCTTAAACCCCCAAACCCCCAACTCCCGACACCAACTCCTCAAAGTCTGCGGCATCCGTTGCTGCCCCTCCGGTGGCCATGCCGAGAAGCGCCGAGGGTACTTGGAATCCTCGCTGTGTTATAATGATATAGGCAAGATAGGGTGGAGTATAAGTGTGTTACGAAAGGGTTATAAGTGTATGCTAAGTCTATACTAAGTATGTGTTAAGTCTGTATAATAATGGTTAAAAGATGTTATGTGTTATGTCATGTTAGTAATAAAATCAGTTTTTTAGCTAAGTCAAGTCAAGTCCGCTAACTAGTTATATTTTTTAACTTTTTAGGTAAGGTTTTATGTATATGTTTTTCTATGTGTTGACATGTTTTTTATAGAGCTGTAATCCGTTTTTGGTATAGTGGACATGCTTTTGTGGCTAGCAGGAAAAGCTTTCTGTATAGATATATTTCTGCATGCACACAAATTTTCGTAACGATTTTTGAAACGAACCTGGAGAGATTCTGTTGCAAGTCCAATTGCCAGGTTTGGCCATGAGCTTCGTAACCATGCCAAAACCACAGACCGAGTTTTTTTTTTGAAAGCCGGAAACCATGTTTGCTTGCAAGTGGTAGATCGCCATGTGGCTGGAAAGTTGATATTGATACAGGAATGCAACATGAGTGTTGTGAGAATTCTGTGATACTTTCGTGAGGTTTCCAAACCCAAGCCATCCAATTTGGCCTGCCCGTTTTCCCGCTCTGCAGAAGCCATGGTCACCATTGACAGCCATGTCGTCCTGAAATACCAAAACGAGCCATTCGTCGCCATTCCCCAGTACTTGATTGTCGAAAGCTCCAGTGGCCAAAAGTTTCTGCAGATGCGAGCCTCCAGTTTGCCCATCGTGCAGCTGCTCACAGGGGCCAAAAATCCCAGCAGAGCCAGCTTGACCTTCTACGAGCCCTTCAAGAAGTTGCAGGAAAGTCGCAACAAGGCCATGGATCGCTATGCCAACGGCGACGAGGACCAAGGCGACGAGGCCAACCAACTCTTCGAAGACCAGGATGGGGAACCCCAGAGGCAGCCCAGGCGTCACAAGATCCAAAACCTCCCAGAAACTATCAACATCCACGTGGGGAACACCATTATTCCATGCCTGCTCCCAGAAGATCGCCGCCGGCCCAAGGCTGCAGACCTGGCAGTGCCACTGGAGAGCAACACCATCGGTGCCATCATCGACCACGTTCGTGCCAAAGTTGAAGAATTGGAGGCCCACATGCAGCAGCCCAAGAAGAAGGCCAAGAAGAAGCAGTAATAGGCTTCCGACCACTGCAGCTGCGACCCACCGCTTGGGATTGACAAAAAAGCGCCTCTGCGACTAAGCCATGCATTATGGAGTAAGAGGGAAGCTTTGTCCAGACGTCAAGTTTCTATACCATCAGTTTGGGCCCAGACTGCCCAGTTTTGCTTTTGCCACTTTTGGCCAGCTCCAAGCTTCTTGCCATGGCTGGTGTGCCAGAGCAGGTGGTCCAAGAAGTGGAAGCCATGATGTCCTCGACTGCTCCAGTGAATACGAAAGTGGACCAGATCGTCCAACTTCTAAGGACACATGGCCTTGCCCACGACCAAGTTCTGACTCCAAGTCAGATCTTGGTACACCCAGAAAACCGAGGCAAGTCCATGGTGTCCTACTACGACGTCTGGTCCAAGGGCAGCCAGATGACCAGTGTCGGCTTCCAACCCAAGCTGCTCGACGGCCAGACCATCTGCACCCAAATGGCCACTGCCGAGACCAAGAGACTTGCCCAAGTGCAAGCCAACCGCCAACTGGTCTCTGAGGCCAAGGGCCATCTGGCACCAGTGAGTGGCCAGGAAGGCACCTGGCTCATGCATGCTTATAATGTTTTGAAAATTGTTTGGTGTTTATAGACCATTATATAAGCCCTGTGTAGATGTTTGGTTCCCTGCCGCTCAGGCTTCCTCTCCCTTGCAGGGAGCCACAGTGTTGCCTTTCTCCGATGCCTCCAGGCGGGCATCCAAGGACCAGAGGGCTATCACGTCGCCATTGCGAAGTCGGACCCAGCATGGCGAGCGATCGAGCAAGGATGGTGCTGGATCGTGCTGGCAGCATCCATTGAAGAAGCCATGCCACAACTTCCCAACTTTATTCAGCATGCTGCCAACTCGTCCAACTCAATATCCAAAGCCATCAACGAGTTGGAGGTTGCCCTCCATGTGGCCACTGCATTTGAGAAGGGCTTGAGCCTTCCAGATGCCATCCAGCAGGCCAGCCAAGGCGACGTGAGATGCCGTGCCAGTGTCCCCGCCATCGCCAAATTCGTCCAGAACTTCGGCGGCGGCAGCCAGGGGTTTCCACTCCTCCATTTCCTTGCCAATTTTGGGAAGCAGTTTAATGCCACACTTCTGGTGGGAACCGAGCTGATGTCCACCCTGGTGTCGCTAGATTTCAAGCAAGCGACGTGCATCTTTCCCATGCTTCGTGTGGCGGCATGGGCTACCATGTTGACCAGCCCAAAATCCCAAGACGGGTTCAGCCGCATCCTATCCACCAACGATCTCCAAAAACTGAAGGCACCAGGCATGCTCGACCAAGTTACCCAAGCCGAAAACATGCTCCAAGAGGCTTGGAAGGTCCAACAGGATCTTCTTGTGGAGCAGACCCACCATGCGTCCCACTTAACCAAATGCTTTGGTCGATTTGCAGTCAGAGTTTGTTTGTTCCTCACGAACAAACAAAGGGCAGGCCGGGAAACCAAGCACTGGCAATCTCTCCAAGCCATCTTGACTGCCTACACCAAGGAGATCCAAGACAGCTCGGCTGGCGATGCCATTGCGGACCACAGCATGACTCCAAACATGCAGGTGGCGGATGTCTTGGCGGCCAGCAACAAGACCATTGCCATGCTCCAAAACAACCACATGGAAGTGGGCAAGTTGTTGCTTGGAGCGGAAGCTAGCAATTGGCCTATAGCCAGAATATCCTTGTAAGAGAATATACATAAGCATATAGGCAAGGAATATGCAGATGTGGATAGATTCCTTGATGCCAAGTGCTGAGGTACACCACCAAGGACCACGGTGCCAAGGTGTTCAAGCTGACGGATGTCACGGACGACCATGCCACCATGACTCACAAGCCACTCTTCCAAGATGAGGAAGAAGTCCATGTGCCATTGCAGAAGCTGCCAATGTGGAAGGCCACCAAGGCCATGATGCCGATGTTGTGCCCCCAGGATCTTGCCAGGGAAGGAATGACGGCGAAGCTTCTGTTGGAGGAGCGGGCCAGGTCGGAGGTCCAGCTGGCTCTCCACAGAGCGGCGGAAAAGCACCATGTGGATGCCCAGACCATCGCTTTCGGCCAGAACCCGCAGGGGTTGTTTGCGATCAAGACAATTCGCAAAACCATTCGTTTGGTTCCACTGGGCACGGTGAACAAAGCCAAGTCGACCGCCAAGGAAACGAAGCTCCTCATCCAGCACGGCGGCCACAGCTGGACCATTGGGCCGTTCCGCCAGAATGCGCAGTTCGAAGCAGACAGTGCGTTTTGCTTGATTCCATATTTCTGGTGCAAGCCCACGAGCGAGACCTCCGAGGTCACCATGGTTCACTCCACGGTCGTCGAGTCTGGGATTACCATCCCATGCTTGGAGAATCCTGCTCCGCTGGAACAGCACCAGCCGCTTTTGTTCCTGGCGGCCCATGCCGAAGCTTCCGAAGCAGACCACGGCGAGCCAGAGCCATCAGAGGCCGAGCCTAAAGCCAAAGCCAAGGCCAAGGCCAAGGCCAAGGCCAAAGAGCAGTCTGAGCCTCCTTCCAAGAGGGCCAAGAAGTGAAGAGCTTTTGCAGCCCCAAGGGAGCGGGCTCCACTTTAAAGACCCAAAGACCATGGCGGGTTTTGAAGCCAGCCGCCAGAGTTTTGCTGGAGAAGAAAGGTTCGCAAAGGTGTTTCCCGAAAGGGCAGGGGTGCATTGTTGCATGCATGTGCCATGTGGCTTTTCCATGAATGGACAGCATGCATGAATTGTGCGATGTTTGGTATAATTCTTCTTCGTCCATGCACAGCAGCTGTTTGCCAGACAAGGCCAGAGGCTGTCCACAGCAATCCATCTTGGAGCTTGCACCTGCAGCCGCCCCTGAGCCATGCGAAACTCCAGGCTGCCAGCGGTTTGCCAACTTGGGCCAAACCAACTGCTGCAGGAAGTGCAGCCAAGGTGGCAGCCATTCCAGCAGATGCTCGGCCAGGCAGGACCACTTTGCGGGCAAAAGGACCAGCGGCACCACCGGCATAACCGGCACTCCTCTCCGCTTGAACCCAAAGTGGGTGCCCATGTGGTTCGGTGCCAGCCTCCGGGTGCGGACCTTTCTCCTCCATGCCCACGAGACCATGGAGGAGTTCCAAGTGTCCATGGAGCCATCCACAGCATCCACGTCCTTCCAAAACTGGCTTCGAGCTCAATTGGTGGCTGTGCATGAAGCCACCCATGGTGACCAAGGCTCCAATGCTGATCTCACCAGAATAATCAAAGAGCTTCTGCACCAGCCATGAGCATGCCTGGACGGTGTGAAAACATGTGCTTGCAGGCATATACACATGTGTATATATATATATATAAGCAGTTGTTTTATGAATGTATTTTTTTCTGCAATCGTGTAGAAATTTCTATAGATGTACATGTATATGATATATACCTCTGTATACATATGTTTGTGTAAATGTTGCATCTCTGAAGTTTTGCTACAGAGTGTCAATGTGGCCACTATATGTCCATAAATACAGGCTATGCATGTATGTTTTATATATATATACATACATGTTCATACTTATACATACACATACAGATTTATGTACATATCCCTATCTGTACTGCCAGAGTGGCTTGCATCTTATATGTATGTATGTATATATATATATATATATATATATATATATATATCGGCCGATGTGGCTTGCACCATTTCTTTCTTAATTTGCCAATGTGGCCGGTTCGCTTTGCAGAGAGAGAGAGAGAGAGAGAGAGAGAGAGAGAGAGAGAGAGAGAGAGAGAGAGAGAGAGAGAGAGAGAGAGAGAGAGAGAGAGAGAGAGAGAGAGAGAGAGAGAGAGAGAGAGAGAGAGAGAGAGAGAGAGAGAGAGAGGAGAGAGAGAGAGAGAGAGAGAGAGAGAGAGAGAGAGAGAGAGAGAGAGAGAGAGAGAGAGAGAGAGAATAGAGACAGTCAACGAGACCTTGCATGAGATTCTTGAATGGTGTGCGGATGCTGCAGCCATTCTTGCCAAGTGTTGGCCTGCCCCATAGCGCTCCCAAGCCACCAGCCCTCCAAGATGGCCCCGAAGGCCGGTGCAGGGTCTCCATTTGGGTCCTGCTTTAGATATCTAAAGGGCACATAACGACCCTGCAGGCACAAGCCATGAAGGCCCAGCAGGACTCCAAGGCCACGGTCTCCAAGCACAACATGAAGAAGCCGGCCGCCAGCAAGACCACGGAGAAGCCAGTTTTGCCAGCCGGCAGCAAGACCACGGTGGAGCCAGAGGCCATGGACCCCATGGAGGACACTTTGGGCATGACCAAGGCCCAGCTGCAGGCCATGTTTGGCCCAGGCTTCGAGCCAGACTTCGAGGAGCCAATTGGGGGCCATTTGGCACTCCATTGCTCCAAGCCAGGGTGCAGCAGCTGGGTGTGGTGCCACAAATTGTACCAGCGGAAGGTTTGCGTGCAATGCGGGCAAGTCTGGCTTCGGTCGTTTGTCGACCATGGATGCCGGCTCCAATGGCATGACTGACCACTTGGACCATGATGGCTTGGTGGAGTGAAAAAGAGAAGTTGCAAGCCTTTATTTGTCAAAAGGCCCGTAGCCTATATCTCACCCCTTAAGCCTCCAAGCCTATCTCGGCCCAAGGCTCCAGGCATACAGGGTTTCGCCTTTGATGGCTCGCTATTTCGCTAGGAGCACATGACATGTTTCTAGATGTCAATATATATATATATATACATATATATATATATAGATATATATATATATATAGATATATATATATATATATATGTGGTCAGAAGGCCCGTATCCTAGATGTCATCCCACAAAGCCTCCAAGCCTATCTAGGACCAAGGCTCCAGGTTTCCAGAGTCCCTGCTATAGTTTCGCCTTTCATGGCTCGCTTTTTCGGTAGGTGCACTTTACATGTTTCTATATATGTCTTGCTATATATATATATGTATATATATATATAAAGACATGTAGGTATTTCTTTATATAAACAACTAAATTTTCTACAGATTTTGATATATAGAGAATTATGTATGTATACTGGCAAAGCTGTAGACACAAAGTATGTCTAGTCACAAACACAGTTTCGAATTGTTGATCCTGCCACTGTGCTGCAGCCTTTCGTGCTCCAGCACACTTTTGCCATCCACGGCCAGCTTTGCTTTTGCATTTTGCACCATAATGTCCGGTGCCGCTCCCAAGAGCAATGCCAAGGCAGCCATGCCCACGGCAGCCTCCACAGCCTCCACGGAGGCAGCGGTCCCCACGGCAGCTCCAGCCAAGGCCCCTCCGGCCAAGGCCCCTCCGGTGCTTGGGCCATGGGTGGCACCCATGCCAAATCCAGCGGTTGCACCATTGGTGCTTGCAAGGCCATTGGTGCCAGCCAACGAGGTCACGGCCCTCACCATGGCCTGCGGGTGGTACGTCCCACCCAATGCTGTTGTCCAGAAAATTTGGTGCACAGCATGCCACGGCGACGTTCACCAACGAGCGGCACCCACTGGATCTGGGTGGAGTGCACCAGGTGCCAGGCGGCCATGGTGTCACTCCATGACATCCACGAGGCCAGATCCTGCATCCGCTGCGGCCACTCTTGGTTCCAGTCCATTTTTGGTGGGCTGCGGATCTATGAGCCACGGCAGGACCAGGGCCACTTCGACCAGGACGACCACGAGGACCAGGGCCAGGTGAACCAGGAGGGCCAGGATTGGTGGGCTGCAGAAGACGAGGGCCAAACGGACCACGAGAGCGACCATGATAACGATGCCTTTCCGTCTCCAAATTGGCCAGACTGGGCAGTCATGGATTTTCTGAATGCCCTGCAGGAGCCCGAGAACCTCGACGAGCCCCAGAACCAGCAGCCCATGGAGCAGCCCACGGAGGAGCCCACGGAGGAGGCCACGGAGGAGCCCACGGACGAGCCCACGGAGTCCCAAGACCATGCAGGACCATCGCATAGCAGCATGTTCTGCTTGCCTTTGTTGTGTGACCTGGCATGCAGGACCAGCGGCCTAAAGGCACCATGCATGGTCTTCCATGGAGCGAGCGGCCAGGGCACCATGGATCTTCCATTGCATCTTCCATGCGATGACAAAAAATTCGCAAAGGATCTCAGGTTTCGATGCTTGGAGATATATTATAGATAGAAATCTATTGAAGTTAAGGTATATAGGGTTTAAATATATAATATATAATGGGGTTTATAAGTATAGGGGTTTATAGGGTTTCTATAGGGTTGAGTGCTTATAGGGTTTAATAGGGTTTATATAGGGCTGTGTCTTTCTATCTCTAGACATGTAGATATTCATTTTGGGATTATTATAGTCTTTAAGTTTGTATAGGGTTTAGGGTTTGGAGGTTTTAAATCTTTTTTAGGTATTAAGGTTTCAAGACATACAGAGACATTGTTTCAGCTGTCCGGGAACATAGGGATTCAAAGTTTCAGTGTAGATCTACATGTATATATACATCCACAGGAATATATATATATATATATATATATCATTTTTTATACAGACAGATATATATATATATATATATACAGACTCAGATATATACATATATATATATATATATATTCTAGTGTATATATACTGCTACTTATACAGATTTGTTGCCAGAATGGCCAGTATACCCATTGCCAGTGTGGCCAGCATGTTCATATTGTTTTACATTTATATGTAGCCACAGCCATCATGGCCAGCTTCTTTAGATTTCTCATCCACATATTGAAAGACAGCCATCGTGGCCAGTTTTTGTTTTATATGGATATAGCCAGCATGGCCAGCAAGCTCCAACACCAGTCCCAGCAACCAGTGCAGCACCATAAGCAATGTCAAACCCAGCAGCCCTATAGTGCATGCACCTCCTGTCCGAGTGCCAGTGTGAGCTGGTAGCAGACCCCAGTCGCAGGCACATGTGCATCACATAATGTTGTAATCCGCGCCCGTTCTCTCCAGCGGTTCAGTAGAGTCGCAAGCACCAAACAAGCCTCACCCAGACCATGCGAGCAGACTGAGTAGATGGAAACTTACAAGCAGTGTTCAACAAACAGTGGTTGCATTTAGGATTGCACCTACAATCCTAAGTACAAGAGTTTTGCACTTAGGATTGCAATTACAATCCTAAGTGCAGAATTTCTGCACTTAGGATTGCAATTACAATCCTAAGTGCAAAATTTCTGCACTTAGGATTGCAATTACAATCCTAAGTGCAATAAGCCATTGTTTGGCGTTTTCCATTTCTCCACGTGGCCTGCAGCCATGGATGATGGCAACAGGACTGTGGTGCCGACGACACCGAGTCCAGAGTACGATCCCCACAGCCCTGCGATGAGTGAAGTCTCCCATGAGACAGTGGTGCAGGAGAGGTCCACGGCCAAGGCACGGACCCAAGTCTTCGCATGGCCGACACCACCAGATTGGGTGAACCTACAGGCTGCTGCCCAACAAGCAGCGGTGGTGGGCCGAATGGGACCAGTGCTGGGACAGTTTGGGCCGACAGCACCACTGGTGCCTCCAACAGCACCCTTGGTGCCTCCAACAGCACCATTGCTGGCTCCGACAGCACCATTGGTGCCTCCGACAGCACCATTCCTGACTCCTCCAAGAGCAGCATGGCTGCCTTCAGTTGGACCAATGGTGCCCCCAGTGGCACCATGCTTGCCTTCAGCAGCACCACTGCTGCAACCGATGGTGCCTCCAGCGGCAGCATTTCCTCCAGCTGAATGGGTCCATGGTTGGCAGCCAGAGGCAACCACACACAGCATGGAGGTAAGATTCGGAGGCAGGGGACCCAGTCAGCCACGACAACCCCCAGCAGAGGCGGCAGCAAGACCAGCACAGCAGGCAGCACCACCAACAGAACAACAAGGCCCTGAGGCCCAAGGGAAGGAACAGCAACAACCACCATCCCAAGCAGCCGGGCCAACAACACAGCAGCAGCCACGGCAGCAGCCACCCACAGCAGAGCAACAGCCACAGCAGCAGCAACGTCCCTGGCGGCGACAACAAGCACCACAGCCAGCACCACCAAAGTCAGCAGCGGAAGCGGCGAGGCCACCAAAGGAACCAGCAAAGTCAGCGGCGAGGCCACCAATGGAACCCACTCGACCAGTGGGCCCAATCAGCAAAGCCAACGTTATGAAGGGCAAAGGCAAAGGCAAAGAATCCAACATCCCGGCCGCATTCCGAAAGCAAGCATTGGGCCACACACCCATGGTCGTTCCGCCACCGAAGCAAACACCAGAGCCGGCCACCTCCTCCCACGAGCCATGGGCTTTCCAAGGACCGCCGCCCAAGCTGCAGCCACGAGAACCAGACTACCCACCACCTGGATTCCGGCCAAAGCAAGTGGGAAAAGAACCACCAAAGGCCAGGCGACCCACTGCTGCTGCACCAGCCGGTGCCATGCCAGATGTGCCACACCGACACACAGGCTGGAAACACAAAGCATGTTGGCTGTTGACCAGATACAGCCAAGAAGATTGGAGAGGGGTCCAGGAGCTGTGCAGCAGCTTCCAAAAGGAGCTCCATGACCACGAACCAGTGCTGTGGCTGGACGGGAAACCAACGTGGGCCAGGAAGGTCCAATGGTTCATTGACCATTGGACCCAGGGCGACTATGCTCGCTGCCACAGACTCTACCAGTGGCACCATGGACCTGATTGTTTAGGTTTTCCAGAAACCATATAGTTCCGAATCTTTTCTAAAGCATTGCTGAGATAAATATGGATCGGAAAGCCATAAATAAGCTAAGCCCCAGATAAGCTTTCTTTGAAAGGAGTTTGAAACAATAGTCCAAGTTCGTTTTTTTCGACCGACACAACCGCTGTCCATTAAGGTTCAGCACGGAGTCCCAGATGGCCCAGTACTTGGCTGAGCATGCCATGGTGGTGGAGGAGCACGGCCATGACCCACTGCAGCCAGACCGCTTCAGGCAGCACCAGTAAAACACCAGAGGTCCGTGCATGCACCATGTCCATGTCATGTATTCGCCAGTTTTGTGGCCAGCACACTTCGCCATTTTTTGTGGCCAGCACAGTTCGCCATTTTTGTGGCCAGCACAGTAACTATACAGAAAGAATCAAACTTATTGGTTGTTTTTGTTTTCTTTCTCTCTCTATATATGTATAAATATATATATATATATATATATATATATATATATACACATATATGTTTATATCTATCTATATATATATATATATGTGTTTCTTCTTTCTGTGTATAAAAGTGTAGGCTGCATACATGTATATGTGTCTATATGTACGTATGTGTGTGTATATATACACATACATACATATATTTGTTTCATTATACACACCTATATACCCAGTTACATACAATCACTGTGCTTATATATATATATATATATGTATATATAAGCAAACGTATAGATGGTGATAAAGCCACATGGCTAGCCACTTGGTTTTTTTCCTTTCCATATAGAGTCTTCTACATAATATATAATTACTTAGATATCTATATATATATATATATATATATGTGTATCTGTCTGTTTACCTACATATGTACATCTTTATATATACATACATTCATTTAATTGAACTATATAACTTATATATATATACACATTCTTTCTGTTGGCTTGCCAAAAAAGCTGGATACTGTATATGTTTCACATGGTATCTGTACATGGGTGTGTGTGTGTGTGTGTCTTTTCTTCTTCATCTAAACTCTCACGAACTTCATGTTGTTTTGGCAGAAATCCAGACAACTTTGGCTTGCATGATGTCTCCTTCCAGAATCAACAATCGCTATGTTCTATATTCTGTACTGTTTTCTGTTGTTGTCCATACATAAAGAGACACAGACATATATTTTATGTGTATATACATATATAGACATGCATATCTGTCTTTACATATACATGTCTTCTGTGTGTCCTAATGTATCTATAGGATGTGCCTTTCAACGTGCCGCTATAGATTGCTTGAGATGTGCTTTCTCTGCCATCCTCGCAGCCACCTTGGCCTGCATTCCAATTTGTTTTAGGACCACACTTGTGCCGCCATGCCCCAAGTGTGGAGCATTTCTGACTTTTTGTCTGAACTTCGCCATCTGGGCCAGCTCACTAAGATGCGGCCAGGGAGCCTGGTCGTCACTACCATGGCGACCACATTCG